ATATGGGGTTTGATTGGAATGAGAATGGGAATGTAAGGTAGATGGAAGATGATTGAGAAAGAAGAAGATTATTGAGGTTGATTTTACGTCTTAAGAAACATCCAATTGTTGACAAACAACTATTATTAGTATTATACATGGAAAGAACAAAAGCAGAAACGCAAGAAAGCACCCAACCATTTTAGGAATGTTTAAATTGATATTTGCTGTCTCATTAACCTTTCGAATTCTTAGTTAGGAACATACCTACTACATACAAGTTGCCTAATACCCAGCTAGCTACTTAGTATTCTTTCTCCTTCATATTCATATCGTCATTTGTTGCATCTATGATGGAAACACTTTCTATGCTGCGGGGATTGTACCTGAATAGTGGGGCAACATTTAGAGGACCACCAGCCAACCGAGCTAGGCTTGTACATCATGACGTGCGCTACTTTAGTCCTCGCAGGACTTCTCATCACGTGTTCATTCCTAAACCACACAAAATGCTAGAGAATTGGTGGCACATAATCCATATCCCATATCCCATATCCCATGTCTCGTACCCCATGTCTCGTACCCCATATCTTGAGCTGGTAACCTCTAAAAGGGGTGGAAGGGTTGACCTTTCTGCTCCTCGCATTTTAATACTCGACTCACGGTAAAGTATAATCTATGTCTTTTTACGATGTGTGTTGAACTTCTAGCCTAGAATGTTGATGAAGCTAATCAACGGCCCCCATAAGTTCCCGGCCCCGATGAAACTATCTGTTGACTAGTCTTTGGATCGAAACCCAGAACATTTATGAGATAATCAAGCCTAAATGTCGATTAGCGTCGGTAATGATAATATCGTGACGACCGATTGAGAGCTAGAGAAAAAGCTTACCTTGCTTCTGACCCAAGCTTTTCTTTCAAATTTTTAAAGTCCTGTAAACATTCCTCCCATTTAACGGCACGCTTCTGTGGTGAAATTGATTTAATAACCATGTGGAATAATCCAGTTACGGGCCTATGGTCAGAAACTCGAACCTCATGTCGACGGTAATCGAGCTGCTCCACACGATTGTGTCCACGGTAAAGTAATCGATCACACCAAGCGGGTGCTCTTTTCTTCTCACTCGTGTCATAATTGTCGGTTCCTACATCGTATTTATAGGTTGGCGCAAAAGTGATGGGTAGTTCGTGAAAAGCGCGTAATCGAAACCATGGATTTTTGCGTTTCGAGGCAAGAAGTTGATCTCGCTCGAGAAGTTTTGCCAAGTTATTGGCTTTTACCGCATTAACCACAGTATCTCTACCCATTGTATCGATACGGTAGTTCAAATCGCCATTCAAAATGCAGATTTCATGATCGAGGATCATTGTTCCATCACCGCCTCCCACAAAACTATCTATGCGGACGTTGTGATCGCGCTCTGCAGGCAGAACCTGGCTTTCAAGGATCATACTTATGTCTGTGTTTCTATCTTTCGTTTGTGTTTGTCCAGCAGCAAGATGACAGTTGATGAAGCACATCGATGTATCGTCCAGCATAAATCGAAGAATCAATGCGCCCTAATGTACGTCAGAAAACCCATATGACTAGCGAAAACTTTTGCGAAGACTCTTACCTTGTTCCCATGGAGTCCACCCATACCCCTCTTGATTTCAGCGGCATTGATATTCTTGATTCGTGGTAGAAGTGGAGATCGAACAAATACGCATGTGAATAGGCCAACTAGATTTGCGGTGTGAAGCAAGTGGTATATTTCACCCTGAACATAATCATCTAAGCATCGGGTAAGGAAGTCTCGCCAATTTCGATATTGGTGGCTCATGTGTTCATGATCAGAATCTTTCTCCTTCTTCTTCGATTTGAAAAAACTTTCTGCCAACCAGTTAGAAGGAGGTTTTATAAGTTAGCAGCGTACTTACTAGCGGTAGTCTTTTTATCTTCTAGATCAACTAATTCCTGGAACCCGAAGACTAATATATCCGGCCGATCGCTGTCTTGAAGAAGTTGAGGCAAGAACCTCGAATCCTGATCAGATTGTTGAAGATGATATGGAGTAGATGCGCCCGCATTCCACGTCATAACTAAAGTCTTGATTGGGGTAAGTTTGCAGAAATCTGCTTCTTGAGATTGCATCTGGTGCTCCATCCAATCATCCTGAAGCAGGCCATCCCATGCTCGTATCATATTGTCCTGGCCCAAGGAGATGACATGTTCCCGATCAAGCATCCAAAAACTGCTACGGTCAACAAATAGGCCAATAAGTGGATCATGATGAGCACGCCAGTCCTTCTTTACGACCCATGGAGTATAAGTAGTATCATATACATATACCATGCCCGTACTAAAGCCAGCCCAAAGATTACTACCTACACCCACAAGAGATGTAATTTTATAGACGCTGATATTTACTATTCCTAGGCATGCATAATCATGTCGAGAATATATGCTTACTTTTCCATCAACATGACCAAAGTATATCCGGTCAGGCTGAGAACTTATGACAGCACCCGATGTTATGTCACCTGCATCTGGTTGATGAAGAGGGCGTTGTAAAACCTGAAACTGAGAGCTTCCATCTAGTGTCGGGATGAAAATTCGTATATCTTTGCCTGCTGCATGCCACAGTTCACCATCAACAACCAGCGAAAATGTATGACCTTTCGGAAGTCGATAGCTCTGGGATGGGTTGTTGGTCAAATTAGGTTCACCAGTGTCGTCTGCAGCCCATAAATGCAATGATCCACCATCATCAAGTGTCCACAACTCGTTCAAGTGTCGATAAATTCTAACTATCTCACGACGAGTGTGGGCGTTGGACTTGCTCGCGACAATGCTTCCGCTTGAAATATCAACCTCGACCAAATCTCCAATATTGTTACCTAACCATAGCCTTGTGCCCTCATTTTGCACTTCCGCTGCTGGCTTGAAAGCCACAGATACGACTTTAATTCCCTCGGTATGGGCTAGGGTCATAACTATACCTCCGTCTAGTAGACTCCAAACCCTAGTTACGTGACCAGTGGTGCATACATATTCTCCGCAAACATCTAAAATGCGAGTATCATACTTTGTTGATATTTCGTATGCTCCTTTAGTAAAGTATGGAGGTCTACGGTTTGAATGAGAGGTATCCGGATATTCGCCTGCCTTGAAAGATAGGCCTTCCCTGATTACTGGAGTGGAGGGCACATCACTCGGAGGACGATGGTCGGTTCTAGTTGACACAGACACCACTGGAGTTCTGAACTCGGCTGGCGTTTTATCGCTTGTTCTATCAACTGTCATAGATCTCCCATGTCTAGTTGGAGTTTGTAATTGGGCCGTAGGGTTTGAAAGAACTCTTTTTGGAGGAGTCGCGAAATTTTGTCCGTTGTCAACCGGCATAGCATTAGTCACTGGTGGTCTTGATCTGTCAACGGAAGGCCGAGGAGGTGGTGGCATTGGCCGGCTAGGTAACGCAGGTCTTCGGTCTCCCCCCGTAAATTGCGGGGATATTATAGCTCGACCTAGACCATTGGTCTCCTGATCTCTCTGTCTACTTGAAACGGAATGATGTCTAGGGGGAGGCTCGAAAGATCTAGACGAAGGAGTGTAGGAGACTGGCCGTGGCCTATTTCGCGGTAATGGTGGCGCTATTGGATATTCGTTTTCGATACTTCCTCCACTACTTGGAGGGGTACTAAATGGAGATGTCTTTTCTATAGGTATTTGAACGGATATAGGTGCTAAGTTCACACTTTCTGCGCTTGAACTGAACCCTACCGGCTTACTTGATATCTTAGGTTTGTCGGCGCGATTGATCGGCGGAGGTCCAACCTTAAATGATGAATTTCTTCTTACCTCACCTGATCGTCTAGGAGGAGGTGGCGAAGGTGGAAGTGAAGATGGGTAAGAAGACGAGTTTTTGGTTTCCGTCAAAGGTGTATTCGACCGACTAGGAATTTTGAAATGGCCCTGGGAGGAACTATTGAACGAGGCCGAAAAAGGTGCATCTGTTGATAAATACGAAGAGGTGTTTGCCAATGAAAGATTCAGATTCTTTATTTTTGGAGGTGATTGGGGTGGCTGAACAGTAACGGCGGGAGGGGCAGTTGATATTGGCCTTGGAGAAGGAGTAATAACTCGAGTAGGTGAGGGAGATAACTTTCGACCGCCATTCGCACGCGGAGGCCGCAGTGTAACATCAGTCGCTTCTGCATCACGACCTCTCGCAGAGTGAACTGACTCCGTTAGATGCGTTACTGACTCCGGTCGGTTCGGTATGGTTGGCGCTACTCTGGCGGTATCTCCAGGACTAGCAGTATTCCTCAAACCTTTTGGAGAAACTCCTCTTGTTGCAGTGTTATTGGCCGGTTGGGCATTCGCCATTTGTTCGAAATGGGACCGCAGAGATGAAACTGGTTTCTAGACAAGTCAAATATTAGCAGATCATTCGCAGAGTTGTATGTTATAATATTCCTACTATGGACGAGCCATCTAGGCTCTCTTTTTCTGGCTCCTCCATGATGTATGCTTTGTGATTTGCAGACTAAGAACAAATGTCGCATGCGATTGAATATAAGAATTCTATCCTCTGTTTCATAAGAGGAGCCTCTGGTATTAGAGGACCAATGTCAAGCTCGTCGTCATTGGAAATGGGACGTCTAGCCCGTAAATTGTAGCCTCGCAGGCCAGTCAGTACTGTTGTGTCTGGAATATCTGTGGGATCTTCAACTCTCGTTGTCGTAAACATAAAAGGAAAGATACTATTAATAAGGATTGAAAGTAAACAAGGGAATGGATGATTAAGAGAGTGTTGTTGGTTTCCTCGAAAGAAGCTACAAGTAATAGAGAGGGGTCGAATTATGTTGTTGGTGTTATTCTGTGAATAATAGTATAGGGACCTGGGTATGTGAGATCAAAGGTTCATTTCCAGTGTGTACATCCCTCATTGTGGCTTCGCGGCAATTTGCAGGGGTCAGGCTGGATTGTTTGAGAGTGTTTTTATGTTTCAATGATCCGCAGAGAGATACTACCTACCGTAGAGGTGCGCAATTATCTGATCTGATCTGATCTGATGGGAAGAAGGCGACAAGGCTACCATTTCTATTATCGTACCATTATGATGATGGCATGTAGAAAGATTTTTATATATTAAATAAAGACCCCAAATTTCCCCAAACCACTTTGTCTTCTTCAATATTGCAACTTCAATAGCCACTATTTGTGTGAGAGCATTTCAGAATCCAGATACATCTTCAATATGAACACTGTAAGTGTTTTAATTGCCATTGTGGGCGAAGATGAGCCTCCTACTTGCAGATAACTAACATACTTTAGGTGAAATCGTTCTGGTACTGTCCCACATCCCACGCCTCAGATTCCAGTACATTGAAAGCAATTCTCGACTAACATAATCTACTCAGGGTTGGATGGGGCTCATTGTGCGTCGGTATGTTTGGAGAGGGGGAGAGACGTTCCCAGTGATCAAGTACTGACAAAGGATTCCAGCCGGTGGGACAGCATACTATTTCGCAAAGCAATCGATCAACGCAGATAGAGCCGCGCGATTCGAGGCAGATCAGAAACGCAAGAGGCAGCAGGAAGCCCTGGAATATTCTGGCAGAACAGATGGTTATGCGGGGTCAGGAAGCAATGGCGGGCCAGCAAAATTGGACTCTGCCGGTTCTCCAAGCCAAGAAGTATCGACAACTGAGCCTGCGCCAACAAGACATGCACCGGCGAGCGAGGGACAGCGCGTAAGGGAAAAGAGCAAATACGAACCGTCGGAACCATTCAGATCAAAGAAAGGCGATAGGTTCAGTTAAATTGAGCGACTTCATCATCGTTAGATTAACGCAAATCTACTCACGACAATTTGGTTTGGTATTGGAGTTGGCGCTGGAAACTGGGTGCTCCTATGTATGTGTATACGTTAATCTAACAAAACTCTACTCCTATCGAATTCTCGGATTATGTGAGCCCTTTGAAACTTGTTGTTCCTCTTATACGAGTAATTGTTGCTACAATCGAGCACACAATTTGTTCGCCGTAGACAAGAAAACAGAAAGATTCATTACCCTTCTAGTCAATTGATGAATAAATCGGAATTCAAAAAAACTCCCAAAAATCGATAGAATTATATTATAATTGCAATATGCAAAATAGTAAGTAGTGAATATCAACAAACAATAAAGAGAAGTGATTGGTATGAAGAACTTGCTGTATCAATTGATGATGAATTTATTGAAGGGTGATCAACCAGCATGTTCCCTTAGCACGCTCTAGCGAATCTGGACCTTTCGTCGCGAAGCTTCATTTCAATTTCATTGAATCATCCCACTTCAACAAGATAATCAAAATCACACCCAAATTCAACCACATTTCAGATCAATCCTCTTCCTTTAGATCCCAATAAATCTATTCACGAATGGCAAAGCTCTTACATACATATCGAGTCTGCTTCAAACAACTTTTCAACAATGGCGTCGCATCAGCTTGCCATAGCTAAAGCCTCGTTCTCTGCTAGTCTCCTTCGACGCGATCCAACACCAGTCTCTAGAGAGGCCATCGCAGAGTTTCACAGCCATCTGAATAACGTCATACTACAATGCTCGTCAATAAATGTCCAGGTTTGATCATACACTCTAATGGATGTTGTTATGCGATAACTAAATCGTGCCCGAGGATAGAAATGCAAGCAATGGATATTGGAACATATTGTACAATCTGCAGCAAGATTTACAGCGCTGGGAAAATATTTAACAGTTCTTACGGCATCATTCACCAAATCCTTAAACGGCGACCCTTCAATCAAGCGTAAGCGCATGCATATACTCTACCTTCTTAACGACATCCTCTACCATTGCAAGTACCGAATCAACGATGCATCTGTTTGTGGCAAGATACAACCTGTATTGGTTAATCTACTAGGAAGCACCGCTTCATTCAAAGATTGTCCAAAACATCAGCAAAAGATTCAGGATCTACTAAACATATGGGAAGAGAGAGGGTATTACTCCAATGAATACATCGGAAAGCTACGCGAAGCAGTCAAGATTGCTTCAGAAGTCGGTCAGTTTACTGAAGAATTGACTGGGTCGGCAGAAAATGGAGAGCAAGGTCTTGCGCCAAAGCTGAACAAGTCCGCACCATTTGTTATGCCAGCAACGCATGGAGACACATCGATGCCTTGGTTCGATTTACCTGCTGGAAATTTGATGCCGCATATCATTCCCAACTCAACCAGACCAATAAATCCAGATATGGTTAAACCATTACAGTTCGTTGCCGGACCTGCGGATGAGAATCTCGTGATTGCTGTGAAAGCTCTCCTGGATGATGTTCAAACGATTTTTGGTGCGGAACCTGGCCAAGACGAAAGAAGTGTGTCTGATGTGGACGAACTCGGTCAGCCAATCATCCTAGATGAGATTACTGGCGAAATACTTGATGGAGAGGGTTATTATGGATGGTCAAGAGTGTTCTGTGAGAGGATGAAGAGACGCCGGAAGGGACTGGATCCATTTGGCGAACGTGGTCAACATAGTCAAAGTGAGAGCTTGAGCCCACAGAGAAAACGGCGCTATAGCGATTCAGAAGATTCAGAGAGGAGTCGCCGGCAACGACGCTCGTACAGCTCTTCGCGCTCACCATCCCCAGGTCACGAAAATCGTTCCAAGTATGATGGTCGTTCCAGGTCGCCTTCAAAAGGCATGCGACAAGATCATGGCGCATCGGGTGGCAACGAGAAAAACCATTCTTCGAGCGGCTCTCCCAATCAATCTGTCGGAAACGGCAATCTACCAGTACCTGAGACTTACAATATTGGCGCAATACCTGCCCAACAGAGTGGCTTCTCCTCAAATCAGTCATACACAAATCCATCAATGCCGTACCAGCCGTACCAGCAAGGTTTCAATCAAGGATTCCCTCCAAATATCACTCAACATCAAGGTTCAATGCCGTGGCCACCGCCTCCTCCCCCAGGGCCTCCACTTTATCCAAACATGCCTTTCAACCCTGTTAATCCACAATGGCCGCCACCACCACCTCCTCCTCCCATGTCTAACGTTTCTTCAAATTTTCAACAAGCCCCGGGTGGTTATCCTACTGGGCCTACGGGTTGGCAACCACCGGTACAGGGAGGTCAGGGGAGAGGCTACAACAAAGGATGGAATAATTCTTATGGTGGGCAAGGTAGGGGCGGTAGAGGAAATTATAGGGGTAGAGGAGGTTGGTCATGATTCATGAAGTTTTCACACATGATTATCATTTTATTTTCTGTTGAATGTATTGGGAGGAAATTGTGTGGTTATATGAAGCCCCCACGCATCGTCATCAAAAAGCGGAGTACCCTGCTACCAAAATAATAGCATGTAAAATTTATCTCATGAACGAAAAAAATCCTAATATTGAATGAACAGTCTCCTTGTGCACCGCATCTAACCGGTGAGTGGTCAATGCGCATGATTGTAGCCGAATTGTAAGAATGGAATGCGAGAAGTGATATGATAACAGTCAAGTGTGACCCAGACCTAAATCATGTTATTCAGCATCTGATATGTTCCAAGGTTACCTATTGACAGCTGATGCTTGAGAAACCTGTTTGGTCAAGCCTCAAGATAATGTATACGGGCAGCGGCGATGACCAACCCATTCTAGGACATTCGGTCTCACTCCCGGGACAAAGATGTCGGGAGGACAAATGAAACCACAATGCCTCCGTTTTCCCTATCTATCAGCGGGGCGGCAATTGCGTTGAGAGAAAAAATCATGTCAGAGGTTTAGGTCATGGTTTTTCACGGGCATTCAACAACATCAGGTCAGGATCACCAAGTGATGGGGTAGGAGTTTGTGTGGCAGTCAGAATCTCTTAATTCTGATGATCTTTGTCATCGGACTCGACTCAACTTTTCTTGATTTCAATGTGTGGCAATCGAGATTCATTTTTCATAGGTGGACTGTCAGCAGTAGCAGTAATGTTCATCTTGAGTTGTACAGTTCACATTTCACCAACATATACATCCGAATATGCTCGAGTATGTTGTGGTGGCTTTCGTGGTGACATATTGAGCGTCCTGAGGAGAGCGGGGATATAATAATCAAAATTTGCATGTCGTGATACCGTGACAAGTATTTGGTACATATTATTATCTCGTCACCTCGAATAATGTGACGATATTATCTACGCCGCGATTTGACCTATCTGTAGTAGTTCCCCATATTGTGTGCGCCAGACTATGATCCTTTGAGATGGGCGTACGTCTCAAATCTGTACATCGTCTATTAATACCTGGGTACTACTCCTGGTGTACACCACCCACTGCAAAACATTATCCAACGGGTTTGGATTGACATGATGCTTGCGTGCGTATTGTGTGTGTGGTGGTGGTGGTGGTGGTGGTGGTGGTGGTAACCTCATTCACATGATATGTGATTCTATTCATGGGAAGGAGATAGCATAGTACCTTTGTAGTATAGTTGTCCTGGGTCTCTCCTCAACCTTGTGATCAGCTTACTCACTTCGTATCACGTAGTTGGGTATCATGGGTATCATGGGTATCATGATTCAAAGACTTCTTTCTCACTCATGAGGTGAGCGATGATGTTCTTGCAACTTCTTGGGTGGTGAGGATGAGAAGGGCTTGGCTATCCATATCTAGAACATATCTAGAATTAGTTCCAAACATCGATGTTCCAATGAATGGGCCTCTCCTCTCGCGAGTGAGCAACAACTTTTGGTCTCATCTAATCTCAATCACCTCAATTCAACCAATCATCCATCCCACTTTAGTCGTACAATCAATTAGTGAGTGATGGAAGAGGCACCCTCGCACCTACCTAGGAATTGGGAAATATGGAGATTGGAGATATAATATTAATATTCGAGGTCACTAAAAGCCATTTGTACGACTTCTTCCTTATCAACAACCCAAGACTCAAGGGACCAACACCAAAAAGATAATAATGAATGGACCGGTCCCGCTCTCCGGCTCTTTGCAATCCGTTCCATTTGATAATGTCCACGATGATTGAAAGAATGAGTCTTATTGTCTAAAGCAAAAGTTATCTGATGACTCGATGAAAACAAAGAGAATAAATAGATTTTCATCTTTTCTTCAATTGGAGATCCTATTCGTCAATTCATCTCCATTTCCCTTTTTTTTCTCTCTACATTTGTCCATTCTATCTGAGCTGGCAATTGCTGCAGGAAACAGCCAATATAAGAGTTTTTTCCCTTCCTTCCATAGGGCGCCAGTAACCTTGACAAGCCATCTTGCATATCCCGTCGCATTCTATCGCAATACCAGTACCAATCCTCGGAACACAGTTACACAAAAAGAACCCAAGGAAGACGTTGTAGAACCCACCCATCAGTACCTTACCCATATACCCTTGGGATACAACCGTCCACACACCACCACCTCACATCCCTAGCACATCTAACACATCTAACACACCTAGACCGACCTCATACCAACTTTGTACAATCCAAAGAAAACTCTCCGCTCGGGAAAGCATCTTATAAGTCCCCGCCCCTCTACGTATGCAAGCAAGATTGGGACTTTTCTCAAACTACCAACCACATCCATACCTCTCATACCTCTCACACCTCTCATACCAACCAAACATCCAATCCAATCCCATCCCATCCCATCCCATCCACGTTTCGTTTCGTTTCGTTTCGTTTTTATATTGAACCGCCCCTCTTTCCTTTGGCTCGGTTTATTGCAGGAATTCTGCAGCTAAAAAAGTGCAAGAGAACCACTTCACAACAAAATTTATATCGCCCGAAGGTACCCCCACATTGTCATTTGTTGCTTCGTTCGTGGCTTATGCAGGAGATAGAGCTTCCAGTTAAGCACTTTCAATACTACCCTAGAGTCCCTGAATATCTACTATAACTACCATCTTTTTGCGAAAAGAATAAAACCCTCCACCAACCCCCCAAACAGAGAAATTCATATTTGGGTTTTGGCCAACGTTCAGCTGAATTGAGACAAAGCTGCTGCATTTGTCTTCTTGCGCGTGGAATCCCGTCGGTATAAGAAGTGGGATGCGTTTGTGGATAGATCATCTGAGTTGCTGACCTTTCTCAATTGATTCGAAGAGACTACCCTACCCCGCTGTTGATGTTTGGGAGAAAGCGCCTCCTTTGTTCCTCTCATTTTTGTCTATGAACATATTCTCTTCATTCAATTTCGAACATTGAATTCATCAACCAATTGACTTGGAGCCCCGCCAATTCAAACCAAACTTCCTCGAAATTGAAGACAGGTTTCTTTCCGAAATTCGAAACCTCCAAGTCTTGTTGTCTTGCTTTGGTTCTCTTGCTTCGGGTGGCTGCAAGGTACTCTAGCCTAGGAGGGTCGGCTTGCATAAATCCCTGGCATTGTACCGACGGCAGGAAAGCCGAAAACTGGAGAAACGAAAAGCATCATGAATGCTCAAATATCATTTATTGTGAGTAAACTTTTATTCAATTCGTTATTGGAAAGTCAGCAGAGAATGGGAATTAGCATGTTATTGTCGGGTTGTCGCTTGTATAGGGGCTGGAGGATGGATACATCTGAATGGTGTCTCGATGCAAAGCTATGATGTACTTTAGTCGAGACTCACCATCACCTGTTTTCAAATTCACTTGAGATTTGAGGAGAAAGTGATTGCATTTCTCTTCCTCAAAGAATGTGAATAGCTTCGTCCCGAGGTCAGGTTCGAGATTAACTTCAGACAATAAGAAAGCTCTCACATAAATATTGTTCTTGCTTTCATTCCTTCCCATCTACATCTCCTTGTCAATGTAGCTATCATGGAATTATTCAAAATCTATGATAATGACACTCCAAATAATCCACATACTCTTCAAACAATTACTAATCTATACCAGAAAGGCGAATTCAGCCTAATCCACATACCACTACCTCTATACTCTTTGCTGTTGCAGCCAATTCTGAGAGTTCTGCTACCATACAAGGAAGCAGATCCAGCATCTGAGAATGAAGATGATGAAGAGAGCTTAGTGTTTGATCAAGAACATGGTTTTCTCAATATCAGTGTAACACCAATCGAATGCTCAGTTGTCTGTCATAAGTCTTGGGCGGAAAGTGTCTTTCAACCAATTATCGATGCTTTGCCCAAAGATGAAAATAATCAGGTTCAGATATCAACGGATAGCTATATTGTCTTTTCCGTAGACAGTACTGGTACTGATGCAGGCCAAAGGGTCATGGATCTCACCTCACCTCTTGGTAAGTTCATATCGCATACACATCCTTCCACTAACTACTTGACTCTATCCAAATACTAATATATCACCAATAGCCATGGCTGGCGTGCCCATATTCTTCATCACAACCTACTTCACAGATTTCATCCTCGTCCCTTCCAAAGACCGCCACAAAGTCGGCCAAACCCTTCTCTCCCGGGGGTTCGAATTCTCCGAAGAAGAATCCGCCTACGTGGTCCCCACCCCAACATCTCACTCTCGAGGCCCTAGTTCCAATTCCAACCCGCCATCCACTCCTCCCCCCTCCAACATCGCCGAACTCCAAGCCCGCACCTTCAAACATCTCAAGCGGAGAAATGTAAAACCGTTCGTGCAGCCCGGTCTCCACCTCATCCAGTGTTCCGGTCGCGACCGCGAAATCGAAGATCGTCCCATCTCAAACGGTAATGGAAATGGTACGCATACCTCTTCCCCTCTGGATAAACTCAACACCCGTCTCTACATCTCCATTATCTCGGCGCTGCTCCACCAACCCACTTTCCTCTCCCTCACCATCTCCCTCGAAGAAGGCTCTTCTCTCCTCCTCGACAAATCTCTCCTCCCTCTTTTTGGAAACTCGATTCAAGGAGACACGGACGGGGATCTCGTGCCGATTTTCCTGGATCTGGTGGATTTACCATTGGAAAGTACGGGCATTGTGTGTGGCGTGGCGGGGAAACTGGTCGATGAGATGCGCATGAATGATCGGCCGGAGGAAGAGGGCGGGTGTATGTTTGGAAGGGAATTATCATATTTGAGTACGGCGCGAGCGGGCGCAGTGGTGCTAAGTGGCGGGGGGAGTGAGAGGGCATTGGAGATGTTGGGAGGGTTGCTGGATCGGGAGGTTGGGGGGTGAGTCCACGGTGGAGATGAGGATGGGGATAGAGATGGAGATGGGAGGTTGTGATATATGTGTGTTCTAATCCTAATTTTGTACATGGAAGAATGGAAGAATGGGAGAATAGAGAATATGTGGATGGATGGATAATGGATGGGTGCATATTGACAAGGCCGGGAGAAAATTGAAAAGAAGCAAGCGAAGAAGTGCATATATACATAAGGGAGGCGAGATTTATTATTTGCCAGGCAAGGCGGGTGGCTGGTTTGCTTACTTGCTCGCTATATGATTTGAGCATGCATGTGCGATGCATAAAAGGAGTTTTTTTTATTATTAGTTTTTTTGCTTGTTATCTGCTCTGCAGTACATTTTGGGGATGGGATGGAGTGGGCAGAGGATAGGATTGGGTGGGATAGGATGGATTGGATAGGATAGGATATTATAAAAAGTTATATGGGATGGATGAGATAGGTGTGGAATGTTATTAATTTAATCTGATTTGATTTGATTTGATTTGGTCTTGCTGGTTTGTTTTTTAGGAGAGGAGATGGAATGGGATGGGTGTTGGTGATTGTGATTGTGGATGTGAAATGAGAGTCGGGGTGAATGGTGAATGGTGGGTGGTATATGGGTACCTATATATACCTAGGAAAAGAGAGGAAAAGAGAGGAGAGGAGACGAAATAAGAAAAATAGGAGAAGACGAAAGCATATAAGATGAAATAAAACGAGAGCGAGGAAAAGCAAAAGAAATGAATGAAAGAAAACGAAGCTTTACAAATTGAATGCATATGTATAGTTTTGAATAAGCAATCAAGCAACCCCCAAAACTTCAACAAACTAACTTTAAATCCCTCTCTCTCCTGGTTAATCTCTAGTTCTCTTGATTGTGTGTGTGTGTGAGAGAGAGAGAGAGAGAGAGAGAGAGAGATGATTTGTAGGTGAGGATAGATGGATGGGTATTGGGGATGATTATCTAGGTAGGTAGGTGGGTAGGTAGGTAGGTATCGATGGAGAGCTAGAATATGAATACATGTCTCTTCTTTTCCTTCTTTTCCTTCTCTGCTCGTGATTTTCTTCCTTTTCTTTCCGCTCGTGATTTTCTTCTCTTCCTTTCCGCTTGTGATTTTCATAGTATGAGATGGATATATATACAAATATCCAAATAGATACATGAATAGATAGAGATAGAAACAGATATAAATACAAACACAGAAATACAATCAATAGGCACCTACCTATATCATCTATATTATCTCTACACCTATCCACCTACCTATCTATCTAGATAGATACAATATATTCGAGTCCCAGAGAGCTAATCAATTCGATTATCTATCGAGTCACTCGCTCTAGATCTTATAACAACAATATTTGATGATTAGCTGAGTAGATAACTCAATGACTCGATACTCGGGTTCTGGAGTTGGAGAGGAGAGAGGAGATTCTACTAATATTACAAGGAGAATTGGATTTACAAAAGAAGAGATGAAATGAGAGATGAGATGAGATGAGATGAGATGAGATGAGATGAGATGAGATGAGATGAGATGAGATGAGATGAGATGAGATGAGATGAGATGAGATGAGATAAAATGAGATGAAATGAGATGAGATGAGATGAAATGAGATGAGATGAGATGAGATGAGATGAAATGAGATGAGATGAGATGAGATGAGATGAGAGATGAATATACAAAAAAAAAAGGAAATAAAAGATCAAGATTTTTGAACATCTATAGATGCAATATCTTTATATTTAATAGAAGATATTAGATATCAGATATCAGATTTCAAAAATTCCATATTTCAAGCTGGAATCTGGAATCTGGAATCTGGAATCTGGAATCTGGAATCTCAAATCTATCTAATTCAGATCTATCTAATTCAATCTATCTAATTCAAATCTATCTAATTCAAATCTATCCAATCACATCTATCCAATCACATCTACCTACCTACCTAGATAAATCAAATTCAAATCACACACACATATACATACCTACATACATATACAACCCTCCATCATCAATATTCCCATCACTAAACTTATATATATTAGATATATCTCATAACTAACCTCATAACCTCATAACTCATAATATATAACTAACAATCCCCACCATCTTCTCCCTCCCTCCTCCTTTCCCCCTCCTCCCCTCCTCCCCTCCTCCTTTCCCCCTCCTCCTTTCCCCCTCCTCCCCTCCTCCCATCCTTCTATTCAATATCTACTACTATACCGCCTATCCATATTACCTATCCCTATCCCTATCCCAATCATCTATTATCTATCCTACATATCCCTAAAAAAGAATGTAAAATTCACATCTCCTAAAGCATCAAATCTTTAATCTCTAAGTACCTCCATCCAACCAACCATAAGATTATACATATAATCTCACATTCAAAAATCCAACAAATACATCTATCTCCCTACACCAAAAGAAGAAATCTCCATTCCTACCGTACCATCTCAAAGACTTATTATTCAGAGTCCATTTGTCATTCATAATCCATCATTCATAATCCATCATTCAACAAGTATTTTCCACCTCCACAAAAACCACAATAACTTCTCACATCAATCTTGTCAACCCTCGAGAGATATTTCCACATAAACATATAAACATACCTAGGTAGCGAATAACTTCAATTACATAACCACTATATGAAAGCCCGAAACGAATTGAATTTAAAAGAGACTACCTAGCTATCTAGCTCTCTCTAGTAACCCTTATACAAGGGGCTACTATTCCCTGTACATAGGTACCTAGCTAACTCTATAGACCGAATACAAGATTGACATTTAGGACCTACCATTGTCGATGCAACGTCATCTGTTTTCTTCTCAACCCAACAATTTCTCAAAAGTTCAAAGAGTAAGTAAAGAGCCATAAACATATCTCTATCCACTCACCCTCAATACTCCACGCAAAGGGAGCCTGTATCATCTTCTATCGATCCGACTTAGATCGATTCACTCTTTCCATTCATCTGCACCCTTTTTACAGAAACTCCTTAGGTGATTTCCCCATCAGTCAAGCTTTCAATTCCCTCTAGGCATCCAGATTATTCTTTTCGCTCGCAATCATCACACCCGGATCATTCCATCCATGTATTTTTTGACTTTTTAAAAAAGACTCTCCAATCCTTCTGCAGCTATCGAGATGTATTATAATTGATGTACCATTTTCTCCGAACATGGCTTTTTGGGAGTGATATCGTTGTGAGTTATGCCCAATGAGCTAAGATGGATAATACCCCGAGTGTTCCATGTAAAGATTGTTCTGTAGAATCATCAAATACTTAGCGCTACGGAGAAGAAGTTCAGATTTTTCATATGGCCTGGATTAACTGACCTGGATTAACTGACCTGGATTAACTTTTCTTGATGTGTAGCTTTGTATCGTTTGAAAATATCCGATACTCAGTGGCTGGCACTTAAGTATCCTTTGTATAAGAAAATGATTGGATGTGGACGAAGTTTGAGGCGTTCACATCTATCTACCTCGTGAGCAATTTGTTGTTCGAGATCTGGATCCTCTTGTCTAGGGATTCGGTATATTGATGTAGAATTCGTGTGGAGTGAGTACTGCCCAGGCTGGTTCTATTCGAGGGCCTTTGCCATTTTTGTTCTATGGGTTTAGTTCATAGATGTTGATTATATCTAGATTATTGCAACTGGGGAAGTGTTTGAGACATCTTGCTTGGTAAAGTCGATCTTCTTTGCGTATGAGAAGTTCAGGCGATCAAATGAGAAGTTCAGGTAATCAAATTGGTATACGCCTACATCGTTCTTCTTAAAGGCATCAACTGATTCAAAGATCTCTATGACATTTGGGATCTTTGTAGATTCAAAAGGAATATAATCCTAATTTTTGATTGAAAGGTCACTTACCTATGATACTGAAGCAATGGCGTACCAAGAGGAAAATTTATTCTAGTATTGAGATCTCAATGCCCAGAAGATTCAGATATCATAGAACTCGAGACTCTAGAGTTCTCCTAGAAATTTCTGGTAGGGAATTTGAAGAGAGGTAGAGACGGGCAGTGTGAGCCATTATAGAGAACATTACCGCTTTGTGATCGCCTCCTCAGGCGCAATCGAAACGAATTTTTATGCAAGAACATTTTGATAAATTTAGGTGATATATGTATGCGAATAGACATTCGTGCGTTGCATTAGGAAGTATTAGGAAGCATTGCATTGCAAGATCATTGATCATGTGCTGTAACAACCTCATGTACTCCCAAGCCTTGTAACATGCCACACATGCATATACTGATACAGTGTGGATAGTCCCGAAGTAAATTTCAACTTGAAATTGATACAATCGAATGTGAAAGCATGAAGTTTGAGGACTCTTGATTCAATTGATTCCTCAAATGTCAAGATTGGATTCGAAATATTGATATTGGTCATTCAGAGTTGAGCGTACTTACTCCGAGACGGTGAGCTGCCAGCCAGCACAAATCTGAGCATGTCGATAGAAGAACAGCACCAATAAATGGTTGCAACAAGTATAACTTCAGCTCACCTCACACCATGCAATTAGTCACTCAACCCCACGCCCAGTCAATCCTCCACAAAGAGGACTGGTTGTTCAACGTCGAATCATGGCTTGCGGAAAGCAAATTAAAAAAGAAATGATGTGCAACCGAACCAGACGTATTTTGATATACTTGATACTTCAATTGCTTCATTCGAACGATTGTGTACCAAGCCAGTGTACATCCGATGCAAGTTGTTGCAAAGAGAGAATTTGGAGGCAGGAATGATCAAAGTCAAGAGTTGCAGATTATTCTTTTGATATACGAGTATTTACCGCGCAAAGCACTTGGTATTGATGGATGATGAGATGTTGGACCGGGTATATCCGTTCTGAAACAAAAAGACCAAGTTTATGATCGGAGCTAGTACTCCGGCCGCGTGTATAAAACTGGCTACGGCCTATCTAGCTAGTTGGAAATCAACGATTTGACATTTACGATATACGATGTAAATAAAGAAATCAATCAACAAAAGTTGGTCGGAGGATAAAAGATGCCCAGTCAGGTGATATAAGCAAGAATACTCCGCACTCATCGTCTCATGCGGTTGTAACTTGTAGGCGAAGGGAAGTTGATGAGAGCCTCCCGATCTTCCATGGGAAAGTTCGATTTGCCATGGTCAATTTGGTAAGAGTGGGGGAGGGAATGGAGTGAAGTGTGAAAGAAGTGTGAGAGAAGTGAGAGAAGTGAGAGATGTGGGAGAGATGTGAGAGATGATTCTGGGGAAAGGAAAGGCTGATGAGCTGATCCTTGTGTAATGTATTATGTAATCAGCATATGCATGTCATGAAATTAGGTATCACACACTCCGTAGAAAGAAATGCTACCTAGATAGTCCTAGGTGGCTAGCTGTATCAACATGATCAACTTATGGTACCTTTTCATCTCATCTATGAGAATGACTATACATATATACGGATTTATTATATATATATATATATATATATATATATATTGCTACCACTCCCATCTAATCTCATTTATTCCATATAATACAATAACACAAATAAATAACCCTAGGTATATTCAAACCTCACCTTCACCTCACTTCACCTCACTTCACTTCACTTCACTCCATTCACTCCTCACAACCGATCAATCCATGGATGTATCATGTCTCAAAGTTTTCCCAGAGGAGCTTTGACCTCAACACTTAGCAAGCTCCATGAGCCAATCAAACAAACAAAGACCTTTCAGCATTCACTCCTCCCTCCTCATTTCCCATGTTCCGATGATTCGATGACATCAATACGTCATCACCATCCTTGTTTGTTTTCCTCCCATCGGATATCGTACCCCAGAGAAAAAGGCGGTTTGAAGCGGCAAGCTCTCGATCTGGCTATTCCATCTGAGCCACCGACCAAGGTATCGTTGGAACATTTCCATTATCAATTAGAATGTCTCAGTGGAAGATGTATCAAACGATGCAGAAGAGAGGCAAAAGGAATGCGGAGATCCCATTCTACATTTCGTGTGAGTGGCTGAGATGAAACGGCTGGGTAGGTAGGGGCTGAAAGATAGGTAGGTAATAGGCAATAGGTAATAGGTAATAGGTAATAGGTAATAGGTAATAGGTAATAGGTAATAGGTAATAGGTAATAGGTAAATAAAGAATCCTGCACATTTCTTCTGATGATTTCTTCTGATGGCATCTCTTGTAGCTACCTACGCTCCTACGTCCTAGCTACCTCCGTAGGTCGTATATTCCTATTCCTTCCTACCTATTCCTGTTTAATATATGCACACACTCACATACTCGTATGCATATATTGGTTGCTGCTTTTGACCCGCATGTAAATTGACTACCTACCTACCCTACCTTGGTACCTAGTGGCTACATACCAAGTCGCTTCTCGTTCCGCTCTTTCCCTGATTTGAATGAATTGGATGAGATGATCTGGTACAGTAGATGTAGAGCGTGAAGTGAATCTGGATTCTGCATCGTACTTTCCGATATCCTCCCTTGAGTCCCTTCTCCTCCTTCTTCACCCCTCACCCCTCACCCACCAATCACAAAGCAGCATCGAACCACAACAATCAATGCTCAAACCTGACTTGGCTCGATTGGGTATATTTTAGTTCGCTTGCTAGGTAACTAACTAGAGCTTGTTATTTACCATCTACCACCTACCACCTACCTAGTACCGACTTACTCCTCTTTCCTTCCAAGCTTCGTCATTCGATCTCTTCTTCCAACTTCTTAAAAGGATTCGAATCGTCTACATCTCTGCATCTCTTCATCTCTTCACCCTCAATCAACAACACAACACAACACATTTAACTCTCCGACTTCAATACATCCCATTCATACATACATACGAGAGATTCAAGGATCCCGTCAATCTTCAATCATCATGATTGATCCAATGCAAGTCCTCGAGATGGACATTATGAAGAAGACCACTTCTCTTCTCCCAGTTCCAACAAGCACGGCGACGGCTACTCCCTCGGTCGCCCCAATCCCAACAGTCGTTCCTAATGTTCCAACTTATGAAGTTGCTGGTCAATCAGGTCAGACAACATTATGGGTAAGTTGTCTCAATCAAATGATTCCGACACATGCAACATTGTTGGCTAATTGTAACACTTATTAGGTTGTCTTTGTGATCATGTTCCTCTCAACTCTTACCTTTTTCTACTTGGCTTGGAGAGTACCAGTTGTAAGTGTCTCGCAGATTCTAACAATCAACCGATCAATATGCTAACCTATCGTGTTGTAGCAAAAACGCCTCTTCCATGTTCTGACTGCATTCATCACTCTTTTCGCCACCCTCTCATACTATGCAATGGCAATTGGTGATGGAAACGCTCTTACACACATTGTTCTCCGAGAAGTCCACAAGCACACCCCAGATACTGTTGAGCACGTCTATAGACAAGTTTTCTGGGCCCGTTATGTTGATTGGAGTGTGACTACTCCTCTCCTCCTCCTCGATCTCTCATTCCTTGCTGGTCTCAATGGTGCTAACATCTTGGTTACCATCGTTGCTGATCTCGTCATGGTTTTGACTGGTCTCTTTGCTGCCTATCACAATGATGGCGCTGCCAAGTGGGGATGGTATGCTATGGGATGCGTTGCCTTCTTGGTCATCATCTATCAACTTGTCATCCCTGGCCGTCGCGCTGTTTCAAGCAAGGATGCTAAGACCTCGAAGCTTTTCGCTGCCATTGCAGGTTACACTTTGATCATCTGGACCCTTTACCCAATCGTCTGGGGTATTGGTGATGGATCCCGCACTTGGTCGGTTGATGCCGAAATCATTGCTTATGCTGTCCTTGATGTCTTGGCCAAGCCTGTCTTTGGTCTCTGGCTCTTGTTCGCCCATGACGGCAGTTCTTCTACTTCCGTTGAGGGATGGTGGAGCCATGGTTTGTCCAGCGAGGGTGCCATCCGCATCGATGACGATGAGGGTGCTTAAATCTCCTCTGTATTTTAACCTGTACGATGCTAGTCGCGAATGATGTGACAATGATGTATCAAGGAGATCAAACAAATTGTTGCTATTGACATAAAGGATAGGAGGAAGGCGCCAGATAATGAAAGAAATGAGTTATGAGATGGTTGGGATGGACGGGGAGCTATTACTGGCTTTTTTTCTTCTTTTACTATTCGGAGGGTATTCGGCATTTGGCATTTGAGCAGGGGAAAACCTCTTGTAGTATAACTGCAGTGTAGAGGATAATAATCAATCAAATATTACTTTACAACATTCTTCATCCTCTAATTTACTCATTTGTGATTTCTTGATATTTGATGATGTATGAATCTAAATACATGCTCTGCTCTCTTGATAATGATGATAATAGTGATGCACAATAAGATATAGCATTAACGCATCTTCCTTTCCTACAGACTTGACATGAATATTAATTCGAATGTCCAAATATACAAGTATTATACAATATGATACATGAGAATTCGAAAAAAAAAAAGGTCATCTAGACCCCAAAACAATATGTAGCAAAGAAGAGAGAGAAGGAGAAATCAAGCCAAACCCAACCACTTCAGCGCCTTCCGACTATTCCCCTTGTGAACCAACCCCCTCATCTCGAGCTCATCTCTTTCCCTCGCATTCCTGCCTTCAAATGGAGCATTAACATTAGTATTATTATGATTATTAGAAAACATGCTCCGTCTCCTGGCGCTGACGGGCGAATAACAGCCCATGACCATACGATCGTAGGCATCGTCGTCGCTGTCTTCTTCGTACGTATAGTCGAGTTGGGAGTCGGCGAGCGAGAGGTGGGGGGAAGAGGATGAGCTGCTGGCGGTGGTGTAGGGTGAGGTTTTGGGGAGGGCGTATGCGAATTCTTCTTCTTCTCCTTCTCCTTCTTGTTGTTGGTGATGATGGGGCTGTTGCCGTTCTTGAATTTGGTTTAGGGTGATGGATTGAGTATGAGGGAAAAGCTCCGAGTTTGAGGGAGAAAGATTCGGGAGAGGGGAATGGGGATGAGAGAACAGTGCGGATTGACGCTCAATCGCGATAGGGATGTGGCGGATCGTCGAACCACTACCGCTATGTCCGCTAGAACTCGAATCTGCTGCGATAAGCGATGGTATTCTTGCAGTTGACCGATTGCTGTTTGGGCATGGAGATGAGGGAGATAATCTGGTCGGCGGACGTGGAAGTTCGATTTCTGAGTCACTGGGGGAATCGTAGAGGGAAGATGTACGATAAGAATCTTCGGGGAAGATTAGTGTGGGCATGTGTGTGCTGGAATCTGCACGTGGTAGTTCTTCGTTGGTGCATGTTGATGCGTCTTGCATAAGGATAGTAGAACTGGGTGTTGGTGAAAGTTGGAGGAAGTCTGGTTCGACACTGTACCAGGATAATCTCTCAACAATGTTTTTGCGGATGAGGTATAGGAAGTTTTCTATCTCCAGGGAGCAGGCGGTGGAAGGAAGATGATAGTCTGCTTTGAAGAACAGTGAGTATGAGGATGAAGGGCAATTTAGTATTTCTTCATCTGCTTCTTCGGAGGCGCCGAGAGAAGATTTAAGGACATTGCGGTCTGAAATCTCGGGACGTCTATGAGCCGTAGAGATAGCGAAATCGTATGAACGATGCGAAGAATGAAATTGGGAAAGAGGGGGTTTGGCGAAGGAAGGAGGATCGGACGAAAGCGTATCCAAAACCCCAGCTACCTTGACGAGATCTGAACCTAGGAGGCTGCGAAGAGCAATTACGGTTGCGATTTGATCAAATGGAAAACTAAGAACAAGAAATCGAACTAGCGAGTTCGTAGCTAGATACAGTTCGAGATGGGGAACTATCAGATCGGCAAGCAATCTGGGATCGTTCATGGGATCTAAACCTTTACGCGCAGGAAGTGGTTGAGACATGAACGTTTGCATGGCGCTTGCAATTAGAAACCTACTTTTTGTTAGTTCGTGAGAAGGCACAAAGATGGAAGTCAAAATACCTGAGATCAATTCTACCACTTCGGCTCTCGCCACTTTTTTTGACACCAATGTGTTCAACTTGTCCAAGAAGTTGAGCACAGAAAACATTACTTATTCCCTTCTCGCACCCAACCGCAAGAATCTGATCAACAGCAGGCCCCTCGTAACATGTCGAATTGCCATTACTAAACATATCTTTTAAGAATGGACCCAATCCAGACATTAACGAATTTTGATGTTTGCTAAGTGCTGCGGCCTCATTTGGGAAGTGAAAATTCAAAAAGGAACGGAATTCATTTTGGATGTCCATTGACTTATTCGTATAGGCGCCCGAAAATTCGTAGAAATTATCAACTTTGTCTTCGTGGATAGGAAACGTAGCTGATGCGGGCGTTGGTAAAGGTTGATTGGTCACAACATTGACGTTTTCTGACGCCCTAAGTTGCTCCATCTCTTCGTGAACAGGCGACTCGCTTAGAAAGAATGGATCGAATTCGACATGCTGTTGATAGTCCCAGTGACTTTTAACCCTCTCTTGATTTGCGAACTGTCTTGAATTCAAAGCTTCATCAGCCATGTTTGCTGTACTGGGAGGCGTGGGTAAAGGTCGCGGTAAATTCGGTGGCGGTATTGGGAAATTGCCGCTTCTATACTCTGATATCGATCGCATGATCTCTCTTGGCGAGTTATCCGTGAAATGAATCACTACATCCTCAACGATATCGAATACCGGCTCATTTGAACTGAAATCCTCCTTAACCTCATAATCACTGCCCTTAGTTATCCTGGGTATACTTTTTGAGCTTGAGCACATCGAATTGTCTGACAAAGGAGTGCTTGCAATCGAAGGGCTCCTGATCATAGTCCTGGAGGCCTTTACAAATGCTGTTTTGGGCAACTGCTCAAAAGTTGAATCTCTAATGGAAATTTTCCTCGATATGTTTAAGGCATTCTTAAGATCACTTGCTGATGCTGCACGTTTAAATTTCCTCAGATCTTTCGAGCTATCATCCACCAACAGGTCCCCTGCTGACTTCGTCCATCCCATAGGTGTGGAAGGTGTTGGCAAAGCAGATTGCATATCCACAACACATGCTTCACCATAGACAACGTTGGGTATAGAAAATGAGGCATCTTCGTCTTGCGAGATGTATTCAAAGTAATCCTCATCCTCGTCAATGTCCGTATTTTGTTGCGTTGAATATCTACTTCTCGGCACTGGAAAAGATGGCTTCGAGCTCGACGGAGGTTGAGGGCCGAATGTGCCACTGTACTGGCTAAGTCGACTGCCTTCTCTAGTGGGTTGACTTAACATGGGCTCAGGAGGTATCGAAAGAATCGTCGTCCGGATATCATCGCCATTTTGGAATTTCCACGATGATGGTTCTGGTGTAATTGTTCTAGACTCTCCAGAAATATGTATAACTTGAAGGCCACTATCATCCCTACTTCTCAAACCATTGGCTCCATGTATCCCTTTCCCATCAATATTGTTCTCGTGCCCTGGTAGGTCTTTTGCGCGTAATGTCGCTGCGCTTCTCGTACTTCTTAAATCCAACATCTTCGGTAACTTCGCGCGAGTTCTCACTGCTGTTTTTGCCGTTCCTGGATCAGGAACAGGATTGGAAGATTTGGCATTTTTGAAAAGACCTGCTACTCCATCCTTGACAATATCATGAAAGATAGTCTCTGCTTCTGCGAAGTTTCCATACGTGAGCCTTTGGGATATTCTAGCAACGCATATTGCTCGAGCACTAACACTACCGCCATTCAAAAATGCCAATTTTGATTGAGGTGATGATCGTAGAAATGACCTCGCTTCTTCGTTTCGTTGTGCGAGAGCGATATAGACATCGCGGACAAATGCTCGAGCTTCAAATGGCTCTTGCTTGTGATCTTCACTTAAATAATGATCGAGAGGCGCAACGATGAGAATCATGTGCGAGTGTGGAAGAAGTCGTAGTTGTGTTGTGATGGTATTTATGTTTCCTTCTAATGCAACCAGCTTTCCAACACTCAGGTTCTCGTCCGAGGTTATTGGTGTCATTTTGGAGATCGAATTATGAGTCTTGGTCTCCTTCGTTGATAATGTTTGCCACACATCCATTCAGGAAACTCAAAGTACAAAATAGTTTATGGACACAAATGAACAAGAGAAGTATATAATTTTTACAGTCAACGGTAGGAAATGAGATAGCTAAACAGGTAAAAAAAATATGATGTGAAAGTCTGTGATAAATTGGAATTTGGAGACAGTGGAGGCCACTAGACCTCTTACCACTGCCACCATCCGAGGACGGAATCACACGCTACCAAGAATGTAAGGGGCCCGGCGTTTAAATGGCGTAAGTGATACCGAGGAGATACATCTTGACTCTTTGAGGCCATCTTGATTCCATTTTGGTACCAGTTGAGTCTCGACTGATCTCCACCAGGATGTAGATTAAGGTTTGAAAGTCTGAAATTTTGAACGATCATTGGCCAATCATCAATTATTGGTCGATCGCTTCTTATACTCCGTGCGCTAATAGATTGGATCGGCACGGAACCAAAACTAGCTGGAACGGACCGTATTGGTGGGATATTACGGAGAGGGAGTACACGCACGAAATCTTCGTCGGCTGTGCTTGCTTGTGATGTAGATGGACAATCCTTTCACTGCCTGTTGACTGATACAATCTGCAATCTTCTGTCACGTTTCTAACAAATTACTCTTTCAACCTTCCAATCCAACTTGAGCTTCACGTTAGGTGTACACACAAGTGCACCGCAAAGTCAAGAGGGCAGACAGCAAGAAGCTACCGATGAGGCAGGTACCTCACTAACTCACTCTGCTGAGGTACTTTCGGTCGTGCGTGAAGGTCTAAGTTATCATAATGCAAGGACAAAGAACACTAATCGCACACCGAGTGTTTTCTTGGCTCTATTGCGGGAAGGTTCTCCCCAGTGATGCTATAATTGACTGACTGAATGAGGAAGAGTCCAGTCTCACACTATTTATCGATTTAAATAATGAGACTAGGGGCAAGGATTCGAAATCCGGAGTACATCAGTAGCTCACATGTTCTACAGCTTGTTTGCACATCATGACGCAGGGGAGTGTGAAAAAGGAAATGTTGTAAAGTTGATATGAGATAGTTAACGGGGAAGTGTAGCCCTATGGTCATTTAATCGCGTGAAGTTTTGCATATATCAAAATGGTTTATTTCACATCAGATAGCAAAAAACATTGCGTCTGCTGTTTCCCGATGCCAGGAAAGGAGTCGATGATAATGGCCAACCGATGATACTGCAACTGTGGCAGAGGAACAATACACCCGCTGACCAATATGGATCAAGGTACACAGAATTAGCCATCAAGCTTGTCGAATAAACTTTTTATCACCAAAGTAAAAATTACATAGCCTGAGATTTCAGACTTGAAACATCCGATCTTGGCTATCCGGAATATTTAGCATATAGTCGGAGATTTTTTTTAAACAAGCGACTAACTAGATAAATTGGACCTAGTCGTTCAATCGTCTTTAGTCCTCGTCCGAGTCTAATAGCTCTGCTAACTCTGCTTCTTCTTCTGCAGTCATCAGGCCCTTTTTAGGCTCGACTTTCTCCTCCTTCACGACTCCTTTAGCATTCTCTTCGCGCTCGAGGCGTGCCTTCTCGAGCTCCCCTTTGGTGAGTCCCCAAATTCTTACGGTACCATCGATACTGGTACTAATAGCTTGCTTTTCGCCCTTCAGAACCACCAGGCCCGTAACTTCCTCATAATGACCATCATAAATATGCCATAATTTCCCAGTTGCCTTGTCCCAGATTTTCACATCCTCGTCTCTACCTGCAGTCACAACCCACGTATCGGTGACAGCTACAGCACGAACATAGTCTCCATGCTCGTACGTTTCTTCTGTGCTCCAATTCTTCGCTCTTGATAAGCATTTAGCTGTACCATCGGCACTTGCAGTCCACAAATCCGTCTCTTCGTCATCGCCAGCAAATATGACCTGGTAGACGCTTGTTTCGTGCTCAAGGATCGTATCTCTAGTAGGCTTGCTCTGTGCCGGAACGTCTTCGGTAGCGTCTATTATTTGAGATGCAGATGACAGGCTAATGCGCCATCTTCGAATATGGGGATCACTACTTGAAGAAACGAGAACAATGGCGGTGCTTGTAGAATCTTCGGGGTCCAGAGCGAGGTCTTGTACTGCCATCATGGATTCACTCTTATCTCGCAGGGTATGCAATCGTTCACCAGTGGCGGTGTTCCATACCATGATTTTGGCATCAGCACCACCAGATATTAAGCACTTGAAAAGGAGTCAGTACGCACATCTAACCTCAACCAAGGCGAAGAAGCTTACATCCGTTCCCTCGATGTTCACGCAGATGATTGCTTTAACAAAGTCTGAATGGCCCTTGAATTTCTTGCCCAGCTCTTTGCTTTCCCTATCCCAACTCCAAATTTGTTTGTCCCAACATCCCGCGAAAACTGTATTACCACCATGGCCGCCGATGGCTACTGAAGTAACTGGCGCAGTTGGACCTCGATAAACTGTTTTTGTATCTCTAGTCTAATGGCGAGGTTAGATAATACTTAGAAATATGGCATAACCCTAGATAATATCGTACCTACTTCAGTATTGACCTTCTGTACGCAGCCAGCACTTTCCGCGATATAAATACATTGGGAGGAAAATGGGTCTGGAATCAAGCTCAGAATCTTTGATTGTAAAACAATAGGGTTTCCATTCTTGTTGCCCGACTTTGCAGCTCTACGTGCTCGTGTAGATTCAGATGCGTCAGTCTGGAAAAAATGGCCTGGATCAGTTGAACGAGACATGATTGATATTAAATGTAATCAAGGAGCAGTTTGCATGTTAATTATATGCATATATTGACACAGCAAATATAGTGCGGGTTCATTACCACCCTGGGCATTCGAAATTCAATCATATCATACCTAAATTACAGGGGTAGCGACGCGTAAAGTGGAATTTACGCCGACACGCGATTCCCTTATCCAAGTCGCGTAATCTATTCAGCATTCACAACTTCATAGGGGTCCATTTTGATCCATAACAAATGTTCTGAAAACTATCCTGCCTGCGACATCTCAATTAAGATGGCTTCCACAACCCAGATTAACCTACGGCCCAGGCCGGCTCATACTTCTGGGCCAACTTATCTTTCGTATACCCCAAATGGAACAAAACTGGTTACAATTGGTTCCAATAACACAATTAGAGTATACAAGACCGGGTCTGATGGAGAACCTACAAATATTGATGACTGTCAAGAGCAGAACATGGCAGTTGATTCAACAGTAGGGCTCCAAAAATCTGTGAAGAATGGCATGCTAATTTTGCTTCAAGAATGAATTTTTCATCGCAGGCTCTGAAGATGGAACTGTTAGCAAATATTCCCTCGATTCGATGTCGTTCGACAAATTCCTTATGCGCTGTTCGTTGCCAGTCCGAGACATTGCGATATCACCGAACGGGAAATGGTGTGCCGTTGCCAGTGACGAACTGACCGTCAAAATCGTGAATACAAACGATGTAAACCATACAATGTACCTCAGAGACCAGCAGAAGCCTGTGAAGCACGTATCCTTCGACCCAAGCAATAAATTTATAACTCTATCATGTACGGACGGTATGATCTACGTTTATTCATTGTTAAACGAGGATCCTGAACTCGTGAGGACAATCGATGGAATTATTAGGGCCGTTGAGACGGATGATGAGATTAGTTCAAAAGTCGCATGGCATCCAGATGGCAGAGCATTCGCTGCACCGACTGCGACAAGAGATATTCAAGTCATGTCCAAGAGTGACTGGGAGAAACAGCGTATCTTCGCAGATGGTCATACTGGAGATATCACAGCATTGGCTTGGTCGCCAAACGGAGCAATGCTTGCATCGGCTGGAAAAGATAAAAAAATATTACTTTGGGAGACCAAAACACAAAAGATCATCGCTACTTATGACCATGCAAATGTTATGGATTTAGCCTGGCATCCCACAGATAACTTGCTCTCATTCACGAACTCGGATGGAGAAGTCTATATATTTCAAGATTTTGTACCCAGTGAGCATGCTCATCTAGTCAAATTAGGACGCCAACCAGCCCCTTTTGTACATGATCCCTTGTCAGAAATATCAAATAATGCACGGCGACCAAACACAAATGGCACAAAAGATATGCCCCTTCGAGGCGTCCGGCGTGGCTCCCCCGACAGTTTGGATGATATCCTTGGATCTGACATATTGGGGGATGAAGATGACTTTGTTATCGATGACGATGGCGCTGGTTACGCACTCGGGTTGAATGGTAATGGCAAGAGACCCGCAGACGATGTCGATTCTTACGGGGTCTCTAGGAATAAGAGGCATGCACAATCATGGGAGCCACAGTATCACGAGTCATTTCAACCTGGTAGCACTCCCTGGCGAGGAGACCGAAAGCATCTTTGTCTCAATCTTATTGGGTTTATCTGGACGATTGATCAGGGTGATTATCATCAAATAAGCGCAGAATTCTACGATCGCGAAACCTACCGCGATTTTCGCTTTACGGATCATTTACTGTATGATAAAGCCTGCCTGAACGAGAATGGCTCCCTTTACTCTTGTCCTTCCGGTAATGGTCATCCAGCAACGGTATTATATCGCCCTCATGAATCCTGGACTAGTGGTACAAATCGTGTGGAATGGCAAACAGAGCTCCCTAAAGGTGAGGAAGTGAGTGCCATTGCACTTAGCGATTCTTTTGTCACAGTCACTACCACCAAAAATTACGTACGCATATACACACTTTTCGGAATACCGTTCAGAGTATATAGACAAAAGAGTAGTCCTATGGTTACCTGTGCGAGTTGGAGGGACTATGTTCTTACCTTGGGGAATGGTCCCGTAGGTGCGGATGGTAATACCAAACTACTGTATACCATACAAAACATTAAAAGAGATGAAATTTGCCAAAACGAAGATGTCGTAGCCTTGCCAGATGGCGAGACAGTCAAAAGTGTTTTCTTCTCAGACAACGGGGTAAGCGCACATTCTGAATCAAGATAATTGTATTCACTTAACTGACTCAAATCTTCAGGATCCATGTATATATGACTCTACCGGAACACTACTAACTCTTGTCCACTGGCGTGAGCCATCACAGGCAAGCTGGGTTCCTCTCCTTGATACAAAACTTCTTTCTCGTCTCGCAAGTGGGCGTAAGACAGAGACATATTTCCCCGTGGCGGTGTCAGACAACAAATTCCATTGCATTATCTTGAAAGGTGATGACAAATATCCTTACTTCCCTCGTCCTCTACTCTCCGAGTTTGATTTCCAGATACCCATTTCCTCACAGTCAAAGCCTGATAATGGGGATGATGACGACGATGAGATGGGTGCAGATGAAATGAAGAAATTAGAAGGAGAATTCGCTCTCAAGAGTATTCTTTCAATATTAAAGTCAGATCTTGTCAAATCCACTGCAAGCACAAGGGCAGAACGAGAAGAGTTGTTAACCATGGATGTCGAAATTGACAAGACACTTTTGAGGATGATGATGGCGGAATGTATAGAAGGCGAGGAAAGAGGCATGAGGGCATTGGAGATGGTGCAATTAATGAAGGATAGGACAGGTAAATTTATCGAGGCAGCAGGCAAAGTAGCAGATAAATACGATAGGACGATTTTAGGAGAAAAGATCAGGGAGTTGGGTGAGGAAAGACTGTTGGAGATGGATGAGGACTAAATAAGCAATGGGTCCATGAAGGTATCACAAATGCATTTGCACGAATTGTAGGATAAGGAATGATTTATGTATCTAAGAAGCTTAAAAGTGATCTTCACAATAGCCGACCAGGAGCGGATACCTTCATGGTACTCCTTAAAGTCTGAATTTGAGTTCGATGATTGAATGATCGCTTATGCTTAGATGCTCCTTTAATCTCAGTCCAACGTCTATGGATGTAGAAAGTACTTGGAATAGCCTCTTTTTCACTGAAAGAAATTCAAATTCACATCGAATAGACATGAAGAGTCTAAATTCAGGTGTTGTTCAGGTGAAGTTAAGTCTCTATCGTGCGTAGAGATATATGTACAACGTATTGATCTCATTGGTCATTTTGATGTTGTCTATTAAACGTGGGGTACCTCGCGTACTCGCTTGGGTGCGATCCACCATCATCAGCATCCGTGATAACATAACACTCTTCATTATTCTTTTATGAAGATGGTTCTACGGTGTGTGTATGCATGACTTGTCTTATCAACCACTATGAGGAAAACCCTAGGCAGGAATTATGAAGCCTTATCGCATGTGTATGGAGTGGAGAAGCAAAGAACGCAATGCCAACAAGATGGGGATGCTGGTGATATGGCATTGGATCGACTAGATTCTAGACTAACTGGACCTTTCATAAGAAGACAGCAAAGCATGAGAAAAATTTTAACTTGTCCAAAATGGAAAGGTGCCCAAGTACTGGAAGAGAATTTTTGAACAAAAGATCTTGCATTAGTCGTCAAGGGAAAGTTATGATATTTAATACATTGTCTAGCACTGGATTAAGGGAGAGCACCAGGCATCTAGATAATGAAACAATATTCATATTTCCATTCATAAATTGGGTTTAGATTTTGGATTTGAATAACTGTGAATAACTACCTAGTAGTGTAGTCGGAAAGGATCAGACGAAATGGAGGGGTTGTTTGCGTGTGAAATTCTTACTCGTAGATTGGAGAGATGATTGAAGATTAATAAAGATTGAAGATCGATGATTGTACCAAATGATGATGAATTGGATTGAATAAATGAGATGAAATGATTAGATTGATTACGTACCTGTGGCGTATCGATCGATCAAGCCACACCACACTGTATGGATGTGGCTAAAACGTAACTGTAGCCGATTCTTTTCGATGCATTACCTTGGTAAATTATATGAATGAAGTGAACCCGGGAAAGAGTAAATAAATTCTATCTTCAACCTCAAATAGCTACGGAATCCCCTGCTATTGGGTCTTGATATACCAAAGAGTCTCTTTATACCTTCTTGGTTTAGATATTACCAGCACGCGCCAGACTCAGATATCATCTCTCCATCTTGTGATCGTCGACACCGAACGCGATATTTCTTAAAAACTTAGCTTCAACACCTTTCCCCTCTAGGCACATCTTGGTTACCCCTCGACAACAACGCAATGGCTGCTCTTGGTGAGGATTTGCTCGGGATAGTTAACAAGCTTCAAGATCTTGTCTTTAACACTATTGGCAATGATAGCTTAGATCTGCCACAGATTGTACTGCACTCTTTAAAACATGCTGCGAAAACTGGCACTGATATCAATTTCTAGGTAGTCGTTGGTTCCCAATCCTCTGGAAAATCATCCGTACTGGAGAACATCGTCGGTCGAGATTTCCTTCCTCGTGGTAGTGGGATTGTCACCCGTAGACCCCTCATTCTACAACTTATCAATGTACCCTCAGAGGAAGAAGATGCACCAGAAGCGCACACAGCAGCGAGTGTGGCTACACAACCAGAATGGGCCGAGTTTCATCATATCCCAAACAGGAGATTTACAGAATTTCAGGATGTGAAGAGGGAAATCGAGAACGAAACGGCGAGAATAGCTGGAAACAACAAGGGGATCAATAGATCACCCATCAACCTTAAGATATACTCGCCCCACGTTCTTAGCTTGACTTTGGTCGATCTGCCAGGTTTAACCAAGGTAATTCCTGTTATTCTTTATGTTGCAAGCAAGAGGGTGAGGTTTTGACTGTTTGCAGGTTCCTATCGGAGATCAACCCACAGATATCGAAAAGCAGACCCGAAATCTGATATCGGAATATATTGCGAAACCAAACAGTATCATTCTGGCTGTATCCCCAGCAAACGTTGATATCGTCAACTCAGAGGCTCTAAAACTTGCCAGGCATGTCGACCCTCTTGGCCGAAGAACCATTGGAGTTCTTACAAAAATAGACCTTATGGACCATGGTACAAACGCTATGGATATCCTGTCGGGCAGAGTCTACCCCCTTAAGCTGGGATTTATCGGTGTCGTCAACCGATCACAACAAGATATCCAAGGGAACAAGACACTTTCCGAGGCATTGAAGTCGGAAGCGGACTTCTTCAAACACCACCCTGCATATAGAAATATGGCAAACCGATGCGGAACCCAATTTCTGGCAAAAAGTCTCAACACTACTTTGATGGCGCATATTCGAGAGAGATTACCTGATATCAAGGCTCGTTTGAATACCCTGATGGGACAAACTCAACAGGAGCTTGCTAGTTACGGGGACATGCATTTCAGTGGCAAGGAACATAAAGGTGCATTGATTTTGCAATTGATGACTAGATTCGCATCTTCTTTCATCGCATCCATTGATGGTACCTCAACGGAGATCTCGACCAAAGAGTTATGCGGAGGAGCCAGAATATACTATATCTTCAATTCCGTGTTTGGTAATTCATTAGAAACTATAGACCCAACGACGAATCTTTCCGCCCTGGATATCCGAACGGCAATCCGAAATTCGACCGGTCCACGACCTAGCTTATTCGTACCCGAGCTCGCATTCGATCTTTTAGTCAAGCCACAAATCAAGTTATTGGAGGTTCCTAGTCAAAGATGCGTGGAACTAGTTTACGAAGAGCTGATCAAGATATGCCATACTTGTGGCTCAACTGAACTCACCAGATTCCCCAGACTCCAGACCAAGCTTATCGAGGTGGTCTCTGATCTGTTGCGCGAACGTCTTGGCCCAGCTTCTCAATATGTGGAGTCTCTTATCTCCATTCAAAGGGCATATATCAACACAAATCATCCCAATTTCCTTGGCGCAGCTGCAGCAATGAGTAACGTTGTTTCCAACAAGCAAGAAAAGGAGAGGAGAAGGTTGATCCAGGAAGAAAAGGAGAGAAAGGAGCACAGACGCCGAAAGGAGCTTGAAGCTACAAATGGCGGGGAAACTCCAGAAGAAGGGGAAGACGCTGTTCCAGAGAAGCTCGAAAACTTACCACACCGAAAACATCTCCAAAAGACATCTCGAAGCATGTCACCTGCAATCCGGGAAAATGGTACAAGCGCCATGGTATCATCAATGAACGGACTTCGTGGAGGATCACCACCAAGGTTCAACGGCCAAGCAGCTGGTGGTGCTCGTGATTCGTTCTTGAACTACTTCTTTGGCAAAGACGGTGGTTTGCCTGGTGGAGCAGGTATCCCACAAGCATCTTCGTCAGGGCAAATGATGGGAAATCCAAACCTTGGCAGACACGTGAGCCAAAGCGCAGAACCAAGTATTACACAAAGTATCAGGCGGCAGGAAGAACGTCCTGTTCAAAGAACACCAGCCCAACAAGCTCGTGAGGATGATTACGAACTCGGACGTGCACAGAGAGATTATAATTATGATTCTCCCTTCGTGAGTTCTGCATTCTATTCTATACCACTAAATTATGAATCAAAACTAACACCAAACCTTAGGGAAATAATGCCGAGCCAGCACTCACAGACCGCGAAGCCATGGAAACTGAACTCATTCGTGCCCTTATATCATCGTACTTCAACATTGTCCGTGAATCAATAGCAGACCAAGTCCCCAAAGCTGTTATGCATTTACTAGTCAATCACTCTAAAGACGTGGTTCAAAACCGTCTGGTTAGCGAATTGTATCGCGAAGACTTATTCGGCGAGCTCCTCTATGAAGATGATGCAGTGAAGAAGGAGAGAGAGAAGTGCGAGAAGTTGTTAAGGACGTACAAGGAGGCTGCGAAGATCGTAGGAGAAGTAGGTATTTAGAGTTTGGGGTTCAGAGCGCAAGACAAAAATATAGATGGATGTGACGATGACACGCAATGCAATTTCATGAACTGCTCATGATGGTTTGGTGGGCACAAAGGGATTGGTGATAGGTGATGAAGGATGGGTTTGGTGATGGATATGAAAAGAAAACAAACGCCGACGAGATCAATACTTGTAGACTACACACACAGCTCCTAATCTGCATTGTCTGCGCTACTTACGGAACATGGAACGAAAAACGAACTGTAATTTTTCCTACTTCAGAAGCATTATCTCTGACTTCTTGATACTTATGTCGTTACGCTCACTGTACTTTATGCAAGCCATTGTGTTCCGATTCTCTTCTCTCTGGGTATTCTCATGTTAGATGATTGTGGATGACAATGAATCTAATAGCGATGGTAGTTCTATACAGCGAATAAGATGTGATCAAACGCAATTTGCCCCTTTCAAGCTACAGTATTTCACTTTTGATGCAAACTAGAGTGATTTATGTATTTTGAATACCTAGTATAATGTGAACTTATACCATCTATTCAAAACTGACCAGAAGATGATGGGAACTGATAGTGCAAAGAAAAGAAGAGCAGAGCAGACTCAACAGTCTTGAGTTAACTTAAATTTCTACTATCCTTCCTCTATATTGAGGTGTACGGATGAAGATGGATGAAATGAAATGGTTGTTTTCTGAATGTATTGGTTATATCATATATATGGATAAGAATAGGTTATATAATCGGGAAATAGACATATAACATATATGATAAAACCACGGTTTACCGAACTGTAATATCAAGTATTGTACAGACTCCTCTAGGTAAGTGTGAATACCAGGACCTCACTCACTCTCTCCCCGGGAAAAGTATCTCGAAGAGAGGGATGGTTGTGAAGGGGAGGCTTCCATACCTATGTGTAGGAACAGTAGGTTCCTAGGGTAAACTCTATTAGCCTTATTGATGCTCACTCAGTAACCGAAATAAGTTGCACTGCAGAATGAGATCCTGTATTAATATCTAAGTCTGAACATAGTCCGGACCACTCTCGAGCCGCTAATCGGACTGTCATATTGGTTGCGAGGCTCAGATACATCTGGCCTAGGTGGGAACTATTCTGTCTATCAAGTCACGCTATGTAAATTTTCACGAGAGGATGAAGCAAAAGCAAGCATGAACCATAGGAAGTGACACTAAGTATTCATCACAACCTTAACATTGAATCACATATCATAATCATTGTAAGCTCAAAGTCAATACTTGCTGCGTTGGAAATCAATGAGCTTTAGAAAAATCTAGTACAGGGGCCGCGTATGGCGTGGATCGAAGCTCTCTAAGAGAAAGCAGAAAGACTTCTTAAAAGATGATCAATCAACACTCTTGAAACTTGCATGAAATTCAAAACGCCGCCGCATAAATCCATAGATGAAGAGAATTCTCCTTGAGAGATAATTCATGATTTATCTCAGAATGCAGGAAATCGTAAACCATTAAAACAATTATTTAGTATCTTGAGTCATTATCGTAGCAAAATAGCATTCGTCCATCCCAAACCCAAAACTGTACAAGGAGTGTTGCACAAATAAAAGAGACGCTTCCTTAGCAGAACGTATTGCGAGAGGCTCTAAAGAACAAGTCAGTCGCGACGAGCAATGTATATAAAGCGTTCGTACCTCAGTTGCAGCACATCTAGTAGCAGATTGAAATTCGAAAAAGATACACTCTCAGATGCCTCGAGCCCACTCATGATCACTATAACCGCCATACTCAACACTGAAATAAGAATTTTCAGAGCGGTCAAGGAGTTCCAGGCGTAACTCAATAATTGACTCCTTAATACGCTATGTAAAGTCAGCCAATAAAACCCAGGCTTGTAATGGTATGCTGTGAACTTACGTGGCGACATAACTCTGGAAATCGCTTCAAGATGAAGGAAGTGATTTCGCGTGTAGTGTAACGAGGTTGAAGTGCCTCTTGCCTGGGAACTTTGCCTTGAACCAACGGAGCATGAGTAGACATATACGCAATGCAACGGTCATGCTTGTCAGACCAACCTAATGGCAAGCCACAGCTGGGGACGCTCTTGTTGACGAGTTCAGGTCCAGGAACACGGAAATGGGTGAGTAAGTTATACGTCTTATCCTAAGCAGATATAATTGTAAGTATGGATCACTACCACAGCAAATGTTTGGCAAGTTCACTCATGCTTACCTCAGTAGGTGGTAGATGAAGACCAGGTCCAAGTGAAAGTGCTGGATTTTGAAGGAGTTTCTCGCGGGCTTCGCCAGCGCTAGCCCCGTTATAAGTAGCTTCGAGGGCGCGTCTGCGATCTTCAGATAGAACAACGGCCGCGGCTTCGGCTTCCCTCTTCTTGCGTCTACTCAAGGGACGAGGGGGAGTGCCATTCTCATTTTCTGTGACAATGTTAGATCTGGTTTGCTTGTATTGCAAAAGCTCGAATATATGACGAAGTATTGGTATAATCATAGAGAGTTCGGGTGATAAAGGTACTCACGATTGAATGGTGTCATCTAAATTTGTTGTTAGTAATCTCGGGTGTCGCGCAAAGGATGAAGAGCCACATACCGGCATCATAACTTGTGCCATGATGAAAACTTGTATTTTATAGTATTGGTTAATGGACTATAATAATATCAGATGTGGTTTAGGCGTACAGCCATGGTCCCTTATAGTTAAGACCGAGAAAGAGCTCACATACCGAAAAATGTGTTTTGAAGTTCGAGTCAGATCGAAAAAGAGGAGATATGATCTATTGCTATGCTTCAGTATGCCAAGCCAACAAACAATGAAGTTGAGGTAATAGGATGGTATATCCACGTGTACTATGTTTCGTTTTGTGCTGTTCTTCATAAATACCATGCATTGTAGTGGTGGTGTTGGTGGTGAAAGCCAGAACACAATTTCTGGAGAAACTGGGGGGCAGGAGGAGACTTACACTCTTCGAGATACTCTTGACGTATTAATTGTACGGAAAGCCGTGGTCTTTTGGTAACAAAGGAGAAAGAGCCACAAGGGAGATCACAGTTAAGAAAAAACGTTGGGCTTAATCTAGGGAAGTGTTGTGGGAGAACAAATTTGCTCGTCGAAATTGAAAATTTGAGAGGATGAACGTGGCTGTTGGAAAAGGAAGCTGAGCTGTGTTGATACCAAACACGGCAATAATATCAGATATCGACCGACGTGTAGGTATATATTGGAGAATATTATAGGATGAGGGTTCAAGAAAGGTCGAATGTACAATCTCGAAGTAATGTAGAGGCAAAGAGAAGTTAACTTGAGGTGCCTTGACGTTGAAGGTTGTAATCCACTGCTACCAATGATCAGATTGTGTTTGATATAATGTTAGGAAAACAATCACAATGGAGAAAAGTAAACAGATTTAATGTTGGGGGTTCAAAACATGAAGAGCTGAGAAGTAAACTAAGACAGGACATTCAGGTCGGCATGGCAATGAAAAAAAGTTCTTCCAACATCCTCGAGCAACGACTTGAACACTCAATGTACCTTGTTGATCACAGTGGTGACTTTTGAAAAGTAGTTTTTGAATGATCTCCTGGCAAACAACAATGAAGAAGTCAAGATGAATCTTTTAATTTCATGGTAGTCTTTCAAATGTCAAAGCTGTCTTTTCCTTCCAAAATCCTATGAAAGAATTGCAAGGTTAGAAATGAAGGAGGTAAGATACTCGATGAAACAAGCTATACGTTGGAACACATACTACATGCTGATAAGCTACTTGAAAACCATATTATGGAAAGCTCGAACTCTTCCAACTTCCTACAGTTGGAAAGAGCGATCTCGCTTTGGAGTTGTTGTTCCAAAAGGGGTAATCATCCTCATCCAACAAATTTCGAAAACGAATCGGCCCAATCACATTCTAGCGTAAAGCTTTGCATATGAACACACTAGTATTCATACCCATTGCTCGAATTCCTCTCATACAGATACAGTAGGGCCTAGCATAGTAGTTGCTCTCGAAGACCTCTTGAAGCTAGAAATAACGAACTCTTCTCAGAACATTGCATACCTCATATATATGATGCAACTCTCTTGCATAATCAGTCACCACAGCAGACTGCTTACTCTCTCTATATTCAATCATTGTCAGTCAAATTTCTAGTCTTATAGAAAGTAACTTATTTTCATTGTTGAAAGAAAGCAATAGAGGTACAGATCAAGTCGAAGACCAGAAGAAAATATACACACCATCGGCCTTTCCAACCTCCGACCTTCCTTGACCTTAATTGTCCACAAAAGGGACACAGGTGAGCTGATGAATCTCGATCTAATGATTCCTTTCTCTCTATTGCAGATACTCCTTTCTTTACCGAGTAATCCTCCAAAATACCTCAATGCTTTTCTCACTCAAATGATATATTGCACAAGAACTGCTGATATGACCGCATATATTCATTCCTACACTTTCTCTACCTGGACAGCCATCCGTTCCTTAAGGACTTCCGCAATGCGTCATCATCAGGTGAAAAACACGAAAGAAAAATTTGTTTACAGCTACACAGGTGTTCCGCGGCTTTATGCAGCCGTAACACTCATCTATCGGCGGATGCAACCCAATTTCAACCACCCAACCATTTCCCATGCTCCCTTTATGTTGGGGAACCGTGGGTTCTTTGCCAGTTTACTTTGGGGAAATGACATAGGGCGCCCCGGAGAATGTAATGAATGCATGGCAAATGAGATTGTAGAATGTGAGAAGATTTTAACTTTATTTCCGTGAAAGATTGTTCATTGACTTCATTCAATTTGATCACTTTCTAATAATCTTCAAGTGCGAGAAAACGCAGCGCAAATAATACACAGAGCCTCTAAATTGACATGGCCCCCATTGCATATCTTTGGTTGTACAAACGCCTTGCTTCCAGAAAGATTGCACTTATGCCTACTAACTTAAATGCAATTACAACTTTTTAGAACTCTATGCAAAGCTAACTTATCACCTTTGTTCATGTGTCTTTCTAAGAGCGACCGGTAATTTTGCTGAGTATCGAACCGTTAGCACCCTTTTGTTTGTCGAATACACCCAAAAGTGACTTCCAAACAGCGCCGGGCTCTTGTGAAGCGTCAATTCCACTCCAGATGCCAGTCTTTTGGTAATAACCAACGACAGGGGCAGTTTGAGCGTGGTAGGTAACAAGTCTCTTCTTTAAAGCTTCGGCATTGTCGTCGGATCTTGAGACCAATGGTTCACCAGTGATATCGTCCTTCATGTCTGCCTTAGGTGGGTTGAATATTCTGTGATACGATCGGCCTGAGGCTGGGTGCACCAAACGTCCAGTAATGCGGGATACAAGAAGACTATCGTCAATTTGAAGTTCAACTGCGTGTTGTAGCTTTTGATTGCGCTCTGCAAGCATGGCATCCAAGCGTTCTGCTTGCACGACCGTACGTGGGAAACCATCAAGAATGAATCTATGCTTCACGTCAGAACGAGCTTTTCTCTTTTGTAATCTCCGACAGCACTTACCCTCCCTTGCACTCTGAGTTGCCCTCGAGTTCGGCCTTGATCATGCCAATAACAATCTCATCGCTAACGAGACCACCTTGATCCATGATCTTCTTAGCTTCCCGGCCCAATGGTGTCTTCTTCGCAACTTGTGATCGCAACATATCTCCAGTAGCCTAAACTAGCATTAGTATTGCCTTTTCCCCGCAAGTAGAATAGCTTACCAAATGACAGCATGAGAATTTCTCCTTGATCTTAGGAGCTTGAGTTCCCTTGCCTGCAGAAAACAGTTTAGCTGATGCCTCCCATTTGCTTACACACCACGATTGCAAGACCAGAAAACTCATGAATACGTACCAGCACCTGGAGGACCCATAAGAATCATTCTGACGCTCTGAGCAGGAGATGGTGCTGGACCACCAGCCGCATGCGCAAGCTTGTCTTCGAGCTCCTTGACCCTCGACTCGAGCTTGTTGACCAAGTCATGGAGGGTCTGCGAGGCATCGTCGCCAATTGGTGCCATCTTGAATTAATGGGGTGAAGGAAAAGGAAACAAAGGTATGGGAATAATCCAAAATATACAGATTGTAGAGTGGAGAGAGTTAGAAGAAAAAGTTTCGCAAGCCTTGAGCGCGAGGGAATTGGAATGGGAATGGGAATGGATATGTTATAATGAGTATAGAGAGCACTGTAAATCTAGCTTGTTCTGCCGAGCGGCAACCGGAGGGACGGAAAAAAATCACCGGGATATCCCCTCAGTGTATCAAGATCAAGACAAGAATCTCGCAACAAGAAGAGGAAGAGAAGAAGAAGAAGAAGAAGAAGATATAAATATTTTATGAAGAGAAATCGATGGACATTTATATCACAAGGGACCCGAGTGAGGTCTTATCTTTACAGTAGCTATTTAGTATATTGAAGTATGTCTGGTTAGATATTTCACCGGACCTTTGCAAAGGTATCTTGGTGGTAATACAATCTTGAAGTTCAAGCTCCTGGAACTCCTTCTGAGTCTGCAAAGTGAAGTCCGTCCGAGGTTCTTTTTGATGATACGGGCGAGTGTTCTTACATCACCAGCAAAATCTCATAACGTCGGAAGAAAGATATACAGGACTGTATAATTTCAACCTTGTGCAGGTGGTGATCGGTATCCTACATCCGATCTATCCTTCCTGTCCATAATTTACATTTCCCTCATCGTACCTTCCTTCTTACTGCGAGACCAACTCCCGCCCTTCCGCCCGCCACTAGTCAAAGTGCCCGCCGTGTGGCACGTGATAACGTCTCGATTCGGTTTGGAGCTAAGCACCGGGTGCCAGGCAAGCTCTGGCCGCGAATACCTAAGAATATCAGCCTTGTCAACAATTGTTCCATTATTCCATAACAACTAACCTCTACATTTCAAAAATCATCATGCCTGCTACTACAGCAGAAACCCTCTCCCTCGTTTCGAGAACTGTATCAGTTGCGCCGCTGGTATTACTTTCAGCAGCAGATCATTATGGACGGTCGGAAAGTAAAGGCACGCGCAGAGTGGTTGGAGTTCTGTTAGGACAGAATGAAGGAAAGAATGTACGAGTATCAAACAGTTTTGCTGGTATGTCGACTCCCTCCAACATGTTCATTTGAGCTTGGTTTGATGTTTTATACCATACTAATAGCAATCTCAAATAGTTCCATTCGAAGAAGATGAGAAAGATCCATCAGTATGGTTTTTGGACCACAACTACGTCGAATCGATGAACGATATGTTCAAGAAGATCAATGCAAAAGAGAAGCTGATAGGATGGTATCATTCTGGGCCTAAGCTGAGAGCTTCAGATTTGGAAGTCAATGAGTTGTTCAAAAGATATACACCCAACCCATTACTTGTGATTATCAATTGTCAACCAACAGACAGCGGCGTACCAACAGATGCCTACTTTGCGGTAGAGGAGATTAAAGATGTAAGTTCATTATCTTATGAAAAGGCAATTGGTCAAGCTCTAACATTATTCAAGGACGGCACAACTACTTCCAAGACTTTCGTACACACACCAACGATCATCGAGGCTGAGGAGGCTGAAGAAATCGGAGTTGAACATTTACTTAGAGATATTAGAGATGTGGCGGTTGGTACCCTTTCAACACGAATCACAAGCCAAGTACAATCATTGCAAGGACTACACGCACGATTACGAGATATTGGTCAATATTTACAAAACGTCCTCGATGGAACTCTACCAGTCAACCACGCCATTCTAGGCAACCTTCAAGATGTTTTCAACCTCCTCCCTAATTTATCTACACCCAAAGCCTCCTCTCGCATCCCTAACGGCGCCGATGCACCTATTGAGAATAACAGCGAACTGGCACATGCTATGAGCATAAAGACCAACGATCAATTGATGGCTATCTACTTGAGTAGTTTGATCCGCGCCATTACCGCCTTCCACGACCTTATCGAAAATAAAATCCAAAATAGACAACAACAAGAGGAGAAAGATGCCAAAAAGGATGAAGCCAAAGATGAGAAGGACAAGAAGACTGAAGGAACTAATGGTGTAAATGGGGATGCCAAGGAGGGCAAGGAAGCGGAAAAGGAGAAAGAGGATAAGGAAAAGAAGAAGTGATGACGAACAATTGGGGAGTTGGTGAATATCTATGGGTGTTTATGAGGTATGGGCATTCAGATTGGGGCATGACATAGGACATTTGAGACGAGCGTGAGAATTGATATGTCATTGTATCATAAATGCATAGCTTGCGAATAATAGCAGCCGTGGAAAGTTTTCAGTGTGATTTTGACACTCTGTATGTGCTCATTGATGTTCTTCGAATCTAGAAGCAACCGAGCTGTCTGTCTTCTTTTTGCTTCTAGTGCTCGAGTTCCTAAACTCATTTTGGAAGATCTTGAACAGTTCCAACTCCCATGCGACAACCGACGCTTCAATCTTAACCTTAGGCGACACATTCCTCACCACACCGTTCTCTTCCCCGCCGTATTTACTCTACACCTCCCCCGCTCTTAACCTCTCTCCTCCTCCCATGGCCCATCTCCCACAGGCCACCCCAATCTTCCAACCCCCCTCAAACAACCAACCCACCCATTTCCTCCCTCCCCACAACCCTCTCTCGTACATACATCCCTAGCACATCACCCCACCTCTCCATCAACAAACACGCCAATAAATGTTTACAGATGGGTACTTGGGATGTTTTCGTCCAGCCTCCATATTGCCACTTTTCCTCCTCTTCCTTTCTCTTCTCCTTTTCCTTCTCCACTGAATCTGAACAGTCCTCATCGGGAGAGCTCTCCTTCGAGCTCCATGGAAAATACGAAGGAGATGAAGTAGAGGTAGAAGGAGAAGTAGAAGTAGAAATGTATGGATAGGGATGAGTAGAAGAGGAAGAGGAAGAAGAAGCAGGAAAAGCAGGAAAAGCAGAAAATGCAAAAGCGGCACAGCTACAGTTCCAGGCGTCGAGATGCACGGTGTATGTATTTTCTGAAGATGCAGATGCAGATGCAGATGCATGGCCTGTTCCTATTCCTATTCCGGATGCAGAGCGTGAGGAATGCCATTTGGGGGGTTGGGAGGAGCGCACTTGGTAGAGTATTGGTGGTTTTGTTTTGGGGGGCGAGCGGCAATTTGGGCTGGGATGGACAGGAGCGAGAGGAGAATAATTTTTGTGTGGGGATGCGAATGTGGATGGAGTGGCTTGGGGGTTATGAGCCTTGGTAGTCGTCGCTCCTCCTTCTGTATCTTCGACTTCCAGATCTCGACGACTCTCTGCCTCTTTCTTTCTTTCGCTACTAACATCCTGCTCCATGTTCCCTCTCGCACCATCTCTTCTATCCCCCCGTCCCTCCCTCTTACTAATTCCTTCCTCGATACCTCCCTCCCCTTTCAAAACTACCCGTCCCACTCCCCCTCTATCCAGCAAATCTAACGCGTGTAAGAGCAATGGCGGAGGGAAGATGACATGGAGTGTCATTAATAATGCTTTTTTCTGCGCATCTAGTTGTTTTAATGGATTTCCATTTCCATTTCCATTCCCATCCCCATCATCCCTCTCATTTTCCTTTGAAAATTTCCGAGTGTATGAGATAGAACCTGATGTTACATTTCTGTCTGAAATTTGTATTGGAGAAAAAGAAGTAGAAGAACGAGAAGAAGAAGAAGTAAGACTGTTGAAGAGAGAGGTCATGAAATCACGGGATGAAGGGAGTGAGAGGGATGGAGATGGAGATGGAGATTGAGATGGGAGTAGAGGCGCAGGGTGATTGGTAGACATGGTGATAGGATGCGAATGGGTTATGTGAGATTGTTTTCATTAATGACTTTGGAGAAGTTCTAGAATGGAAAGAAAATGTAGGAATTGGATACATAGAGTTTTACTCCGTTTAAATAGAAACTGGATATTCCCACAAGAGTTGAAGAGTTGAAGTGGTGATGAGATAAGATGTTGAAGTGTGCTCGATGTGCAATGCACGAGATTGGACAGAACAGAAAAGGAGGGGTGGAACCAAGCTCGCTTGCTCGTTCGTTTGCCTAAAAGTACTAGGTATGGGAAGCTACAAACCCATTATTTTGAACCTCACTGATATCTCTCTTATTCATTTCTTTCATCTATATCATACATGTAATTTCTAATTCGTATATACAGCAGAATTCAATCAATTGACTATTTCTATTCCCGCATCTGACATTTAAACCCATTCCCTAGGTTCTCTCAAAACATCCACCAATCTCTGTTCTCTACTTCCCTTCTCCGGCTCATACATATACCTCCAACTAGCCGTCAAAGGTAAACTCATCAAAATACTTTCCACCCTCGCACTTGGTGTATTCAAACCGAAAGCTGTACCTCTATCATGTACCAGGTTGAATTCTACATATCGACCCCTCCTAATTTGTTGCCATTCCTTTTCTTTCTCGGTATATGGCATATCCTTTCTCTTATTGATGATTGGGAGATATGAAGGAAGGAAAGCTTTCAAACAACTTTGCGCAAATGCAAACAAGTTTTCTTGATCTTTTCCCTCTTCTAAATCATCGAAGAAAATTCCTCCAACACCCCGCGTTTCCCCTCTATGTTTATTGGAGAAATAGTTATCGCACCATTTCTTGAATCTTGGATAGTATTCTTTATCATGGCTGTCGCATGCTTCTTTAATTGTCTTGTGAAAATGAATAGCATCTTCGTCGAACAAGTAACTAGGTGTAAGATCCGTTCCACCACCAAACCACCATGCGGCAGGTGAACCATCGGGGTTTTCGGTTTCGAAATATCGATAGTTGAGGTGGACAGTGGGCGCCATTGGATTGACTGGATGGAGGACCATGCTTAATCCGGCAGCGAAAAAGTCGAGGGATTGAACATCAGGGTCGATAGACTTGTGGTTGGCTCGCATTTTTTCAATTGCCGGTCGAGGTAATGTTCCATATACCACACTGATATTTACTCCTGCCTTTTCAAATACATTGCCGTCTTGCAATACACAGGAGATCCCACCTCCGCCATGTTCCCTATTCCATGTATCAACTCGAAACTTCTTGCCATCGACTTGTTCCAATTCATGTACGATTTCCTTTTGCTGTTGTTTAATGAATTCTTCCATTCGCAATCGCATGGGCGAATTCTCCGTAACTCCAGATTCACGTTTAGTGAGGGTATCCCGTTCTGCAATGGTAGGGGCATCCAACTTGGCCGGTTCTTCTGTTGCCTACTAAGGTGTAAGTGAAGCCCGCAGCATAAGTCTTGATCGCATGCTCCATACCATGTTGTAAATTAAAGCACCAATAAAGACAACGCCAACAGCGATTCTAGTTTTTGGTGCCCAAACAGTAGGTCGCCCAGAGCCTGGTCTAGGAGGCTTTTGGTGATCTGCGAAAGTTCTCCGAGGATACAAAGGTAAAGAATGTCTCGAGAAAGAAGATCTTCCCAAGCTCAAGAATCGAGCTCTTCTTATGGGAAGAGACATTGTGAAAGGAAAGGAAAGGTAAGGAAATGGTCAGCTTAGAATTGGAAAGATTTCAGTCCTATAACACAAGAAACATGCCACAAATAAGTAGATATTGTTGAGGAAGTGATTGTTTGGGTGTGATTCAAAGGACTAGATTTGTCGATATAATTTTCGCACTTTGCCGTGGTACGATTTCTATGATCATGACGGCGATGAATGGACAACTTTTAGAAAGGGAAGCAAGCACTGGCCATCATCGGAAGATTTTGGTAAGGATTTACCGGTGCTGAGCAAAACAAAACTTTAAAGACCTCCAGCTACCTCGAGACTTACGGCATTTACGGAGGACTTGCTTAGTTACCTAGTAGATTTGGTACATAGATCCGTCAGAATCCGAGAGATTCCTTGTCATGAGTTGAAGAACGACGGAAGATTCAAAAGAAAAGCTCACGGAGAAAGAGAGAGAACGTCAAGATGCGAGCGCGAGATACATACATATACATACATATTCCGGGGCCAGGCTCGCCAGGTATGAGATAATAGATTACTATGTACACCCGGGTAACTTACTACCGGCAGAACGACGACAAGTAGGGAGTCTCGAGTTTCTCTATCCATATCCATGTATACTTCGATGATAGGAGATCATTTGACACCAACCATTGGGATGTTCTCCTGGTAAGGATGTCAAGGTCCTCCTCCCACACGATACCCGTGACCTTGTTGACTCCATCTCTAGCCGCCTCTTTGCCTCTATCTCGAGTGGGGTTGCTGTCTGGGGTTTAGTCCCATCCCTCGAGCGGAAGTAGGGTAGAAAGAGAGCATTGGGTAAGTCATTGGGTAAGTAACGTAAGTTGCATTGGATGCGAACGACGGTCAAAGAGAAAGCGCATGACAAAGAAAAGGGAGGCTATGGGGTATGAAGGATGAAGGATGAAAGTATGAATGAATGAATGAATGAATGAATGAATCAATGAATGAATCAATGAATGAATGATCACTCGTATGTATCATTGTATGAGGATATTCTCATCATGTGCCCTTGGGAGTAATGTGAAACAGGCATGTCATTCATATTCCATCATTCACTCTTCCCTCTTCACCATCGTCAGCTGCGGTTGTTCCATTAGATACGTTCCTAGCTATTCCAAGGTTTACCGTAATCTCGAGTCAATCTTTGTATCTTCGTATCTATACCAACCATATCTATAATCAATCGATATTCAATCGATATTCAACCCGCCCTCTGCTCATAAAACCACACCTCTCACCTGCAAGTCACCGTACAGTACAGTATCATAATCTAGGCAAGAAGTGTGATTCACAATCAATCCCTCACCGCTTACGCTACTTAGCCACCTGCACTTAGGCAGGCTTTATAGCCTTTAATAATACCTTATTAGTCTCCCTCTCCATTACAACTCCCTCCCTACCTCCTCCCTCGCACTACCTTTCCCCTCCATCATCCATCCATCCTCCATTACATCAACAACACAACACAACACAACACTTCCAATATCAACACTTCCAATATCAACACTTTCAACAACCATCCAACAACTCTTAACCAACAAATCATCCAATAACCTATTTCAAAATGCGATCCAAGTTTAAGGACGAGCACCCATTCGAGAAGCGCAAGGCTGAAGCTGAACGCATCGTAAGTCGCATTCCAACCTCCTAACCATTACCTCCTCTTCCCCACTATCACGATCGCATCCCCCAAACCCTCAAACCGATGTATTGCACACTCCTTTCACCACAAGCCGACTAACTTTTGTATCCAGCGTCAAAAATACTCCGACCGTATCCCCGTAATCTGCGAGAAGGTCGAGAAGTCCGACATTGCCACTATCGACAAGAAGAAGTATCTCGTGCCCAGCGATCTCACCGTCGGTCAATTTGTGTACGTTATTCGCAAACGTATCAAGCTTTCCCCGGAAAAGGCCATCTTCATTTTCGTCGATGAGGTCTTACCGCCTACTGCCGCTCTGATGAGCTCCATTTACGAGGAGCATAAGGATGAGGATGGGTACGTTCTCCATTATCTACTTTTCATAACGTCATACCGCTCTATCGTCACCGTTATCGTGATTATCGCGATTAAACCAAATCGACTCCAACACATACTTATGAATGAACAAAGAAATTCCAAATGATTATATGATGTAAATGCTAACTTCACTACGAAATAGATTCCTATACATTTCATACTCGGGCGAAAACACCTTCGGTGAAGCTTTAGAAGAAGCCAACTAAATCCCGCTTCCTTAGAAACTTCAGTACAACTCATCATAGGCGTTTATAAGGCGAGGCGGTGATGGATAGGCAGGGCAGTGTGACTACGTTACAACCTGGGGCAGTTTTTCTTTTTTACTCGTCAACTTCCAAGTTTTCCCCCTCAAATACCTTGGGAGCGTACCAACCAACCATTTCTCACCTACCTCTTCGATCATCCTAAGCGCCCTCTCTTAGGGTTCGCAGCAAAGGAGATCAGCAAGAAAAGACTGATTATCTGTATATGGGATGATGGAACAGCTGTGTATGCTCTTGGGAAGTGGAAATTTCGGACTTCGATGTTGTGAATTATTCATAGGGGTTGTTATCCTTTCCTTGTTTTCATGCTTTTAGTGGGAGGGGTTTATTGGGAATAGGGACAATATGATACGATGCTTTCTGCCAACACATGCATGGTTTCACAATGTGCTAAGTACACGTGAAGTCGTTGGATTCGTGATTTACTGTCTTTCTGCCGTTTCAATGAGACTGTGATTTGAGGAGTGATTGAACATGCTTGTATTGAATCGTGAAGTTGACGAGGGTGGAGGCCCTTCATCAATTCCAACACGCATTGATGATGTCATTTGGTTCGTGATTGATCTCTTGTAATTCTGACTATCTCTCTGTCCTGTACTAATCTAACCTCTAACGAATGTGTAATTATCTCTCCATAAACCCAGAGAGCTTGATAATGACTTCAAGCTATTTGATGACCATAATTTCATACTCGATTCCAACACTAACAATACTAGTCGATAATAGAGCCCTTTGATACCTCTTCATAACCATGTTTCTTTCATTGTGAATTCTCCATCAAACGAGCACCTCACATGTCTCATGCACAACGTGCGTCCTTTTCATCTCAATAGCACGCTCTTGAGTAATAAACAATGCCTCAGTATGAGCAATTAGTAGCAACGACATCTTCAACACTCAAGCAGTCTCTTCTCATTGCGTACCCGATCTTCCAGATCTTCCAATCGTTCCGAAAACGGAACTCAACTTCTTCTTGAGAGCTTTAGGGGAACCCTCGATTCTTTTGCCAATACTGGCGAATTTATCACCAGCCCCACTTGCCCGGCTTCCTTCTGTCTTGCCTGATTGTTGACTTTGGCAGGCACCACCACCACTAAGAGTACCCGTAAGAGGGACTCCACCGACAGAACTAGCTTCAGACTTGCGTGATTGTGATTTGGAACCCGGGGTACTACTGCTGCCATCACTGGGATCATGGCTTGAGGAACTTGAGGATTCAAGGCGACCAGATTCAGATTGTGTAGTTTTAAGAGGAGTTATAGAAGGAGGATCTTGGAGAGAGAAGAAAACGTGAGAGTCAGGATTCTTTGGTGGAAGAACATAAGAACCTTTGTAAGGATAGCTCTTGGCAGCTTCGAGCGGTGAAAATGGAGGTTGGCTCATGAAACCTCTATTGGAGTTATGGGTATTCTTAGTCTCTTGATTGATCTTGAAGTAGTCGGAGCCTTCACCAGATTTGAGAAGTGGAGAGGGTGGTCCAGGTTCAATACCCTGGGAACATAAAATGTTCTTCAAGCACTTTAAAGAAACTGCCTCGTCGTGAAGGTCGGAGGCAGTTGGAGATTGATATTTTTGTGGAATTGGCGTGCTGCGGACCGGAGCAGGAGCCTTCTTGGATGTCGGAGAACCTTTCTTGTAATCATCATTCCAGAACTGGTTCTCAAATTCTTCAAGACTAAATTTGTCAACCATGAACGAGTCGTCAACGTCGGAGGAACAGTCTTGTTGGATGCAAGATCCGTCAACCAGCTTCGTATGTGACTTCCCAATTAGCTTTTCCTCGTCCTCAAAAGGGATACTGTCAATATCTTCAATTCTCATTGAAATACCTTGTTTCTGAAAGGAAACTTGTAGCTGCAGCTTCTGGAAAGTCTTGATAAAATTATCTTGCTCAATCTTGTCCATCCATTCAAACGACTCCAGATACTCTTGAGTTAGCTCAAAAGGAGAGATCCCCGCGTTTGAAAGCTTTTGGCGTGCAGCGCCCGATTTTTGAAGTGCTCTTCTATGTAGAATTGGAATGTTGGTATCCATCCACTTGGTCGTATCGTTGCCCTGACTTAACACCAACTTTACAAATTCATCCTCTGTAAGATAGGTTGGATGAAGACCTTTTGGTACAAGAATTTCCCAGGCGCAGTTCCAAAGAGGTCCTTTGCGTACGGCGTATTCGTGTCTCGCTGAATTTGAGTTAACAGTAGTGATAAGTTGACTATAATAGACGTGCTGATCTGCGTAGTCGAACTCATCGATGTCAGTGAAAGAAGGTGTGCCGAAGTTAATCGCAGTGGATGGTTTCTTGAGTCTCATTGGCAAAACAATCATATCTTCAAAGTTGAATCGGAAGTCCGATGACTGTCTTCGAAGGTTGTAATCCGAGGATTCGTAGACCATGTCGGGGTCTTGCTCATAAAGGTCAAAAGCCATACAATCATCATGATTGAGCGGTCCAACGGTTGGAGTGTCCACAGATATTGCGACATTAGAAGATTCGCCACGTCCAGCCACTGTGTTGCTCTTTTGACGGTGAGGCTTATGCGAAGGAGAAGCAGGTATGGATCGAGTATCCGCGCTGAGCTTCTTTGGAATACAGGTTGATGGTGATTTGCCAGAAACGGCTTCTCCATCGACGAAGTCATGATTGGCCTTCGAATGGCTTTTCATGTACAAGAAAGAATCTTCGCTACCTTCTGCCATTGAAGCGTTCAGAGATCAAGATTGTATGAATATTGTAAAAGTCTTTCACTATCCAATGCAAAGAAACTGCGTGAAGGATAGGAGACGGAGTGAGATTAAAGTGCTGACAGTTACACTACTGCTATTCCAGGAATGCAAAATGGTGAAATACTTGTTGTTGAATGATGAATATTTGTTTAAATGGAAAGAAAGTCTTAAGATATAGAGCATGACATGCGCCTTCCTTGAAGTATTTTGTGCATGTCGACCAATCGAGGGCTCCTTCCACAACTCTCAATTCTTTTCCGCCAAAGGATCATTCGAACGAGGAAACCCGATTCTTCTATATGACGTGTGTTATTGAATGCTCAAGAGGAATAGACTTCCGAACTACATACCTGAATGCAGAATCGATTGTTTGCTGAGTGGTGCGTCCTTGCTCCTTTTCTTCCCGGTTGATACGAGTCACCGTTGCCCCTACCCCAATAAATAGGGCAAAGATTGGATCACCAACTCTAGATATGAGATATGTTGGAGTAGGCATGATGATAATTTCACGTGTAGATTATTACGGTGTGAGTATTGGAAGATTTGTGTTTGTGGAAAGTTGATGGTTAATAAATAAGTTGAAATTTGTGGATACAGAAATCCCCGGCTATTGCCGAGATGCCATAGCTCCTTCATGGAGGGGTAATAATTAAATGATAAAGTCGTATCCATACTACTGGTAGAGAAGCCATAGAATTCTACTATTACTCTCTACCCAGATTTGTAAAATCAGACTATTGGATTCTCAGAGCCAAAAGTCTCTCCGAGCAAGTTTACCAGACAATGAGAAGTGGGAGGCTGATAAAATTCCGAATTTCAACACCACTCACAAAATACTGCTGGGTATGATATAGAATGCTCATTAGCCCAAGTCATTAATTTACACAGTGATTCACAGCAAAATACGTAACAGCAATAGGTAATTTAGGTATCTATTCCGTTTATCATTGTCATTGTCATTTGAGTCGAGTGATTTGCCCTCCCATATATCGACTCCCAGCTATCTACAAGGAGGGTACAATATATCGTTTTATATCATTAAACGCCAGTTTTCCATCCCATCCATCTTGGTATTATTACATTACGAGGCTCAATTCCACACGAACATTCTATTTGGAAAGAGCGATATCAAAAGCAGGGATTAAAGTTTGTGCAAGCCAGAAAGAGAATACCAATTTTGGTCCAGTCATCAATAGCTATTAGACGTTAGTGTTGTTACTTAACAATGAGTAAAGAGCTAGCATACCTTTGGTGTTAAACCTTTGAAGAAACTAGTCATGCCCTCATTCTTCATCATGCTTGACACAATTCTGAAACCACTTTCTGGGTTCTCGAAGTTACGGTTTTGAATACGAGTCTTGATAACATCGAGAGGTGCGGAGACGACAAGAGATGCAGAAGCACCGGCGATAGAAGCCACGAAGTTCTGGAACCAGGTGGCCTTGTTGTAATCGTTCAAATTGAAAAGGTATCCTTTGGCAAAGGCAGATCCTCCGAAGAGCTTTGAAATATATTAGCAGCCGTCTGAAGAGGAGTAGGAGGGAAACTTACAGCAAAGGATCCTGGTGCATTTCTTGCAGCAGTCCATTGCCAACCTCTGTACAATCCAAACCCTTCATCTCTAACGATTCTGACAACACCTCGTCCTCTGAAAGCCTCAGGGTTTGTCTGACGCTTGATCTTGAGAACGTCGAGGGGAAGGAGGACAATCTCTCCAATTCCAACAAGACTTCCTGCTACTGAACTCATCATCGCCTTTCCAGTCTTTTTGCCAAAGGTGTTTTCGAAAGTACTACCGTGGTGTGTAGTAAGATAGTCGCGAACAAATGGTTGTCCACCATACTTGTAGACTCTTTGTAGGACTTTGTATCCTGCAGCATATCCTAGACCCGGGAAGAGAGAAAAGAATTTGGTGCCGACAGATGCTGTTGCCTTGTCCTTGAAGATAACTTGTGCCAATTTGCCCTTGGTCTGTGGTGCAAGTAATTAGCATGGCATGGTAGAAAAGTGCATTAACGGGGGGTTATACCGATCCCTGATTGCTCATCAATCTCTTTGCGATTGTGTCGACCTTTGATGGGTCAGTAAGTTCATTTTCAATGGGGGTTCTTGGTGTGTCTATACAGGATGAAAGACAGCAAGCTCAGCAATACCGGCAGATCCTACGCATAGTGTAAGTGATTGCTTGTATATAAAATAATCCGAAGAAACTAACCTGAGCCCAACAATCTAGCCAATGTAGATTCTGACTTGTAGCCTTTAGAAGGCGATGCAGCAATTGGAGACATTATGGCGGCAATGACAAAATCAAATAGAAAATGCTTCAAAATCAACTAAATGAGTGAAGTCTTTGAAATTGTCCGAGGCTTCGAATTGTTCTATTCTTCAAAGATTGTGGAAATAGAAAAATATTTTGTCTGGTGTGATTCCCAAACTTTTTTTTTCTTTGGACCTTCAGAAAGCCCTTGTGAGTTGTCCGTGCGCACCAGGTACAATACCTGATTTCATAACGTATGTCCAAAACATAACTTTTTTTGATCTAATCAACTGTTTGCTAAATCCAATATAAAAATAATTCAATTGCTTTCAATTCAATCAATATAACTCCAAATTAGAAAAACTCTATATAGAAATATAAATCTCAATTGATAAAATCAAGAAATAAAATATAAATAGAATTAATCAAAAATTGATTGAATTAGAAATAGTTGAATGAAAATTCAATTTTCGAAAATTCAAAAACCTAAAAACTACACCAAAAATCATAATTTCATTCAATTACTTCCAATTCAATCAATTTTTGATCAATTCTATTCAGATTTTATTTATCGATTTTTTTAATTGATATCTATATTATAATACAAAGTTTTTTCAATTTGAAGCTATACTAATTGAATTGAATTTTTCAGTTTTTGGAATTTCGATTAGGTGATATTGAAAAAGTGCTTTTTCTTTTGAACACACATTATGAAATCGGGTGAATTAGCACGAAGTCGGTAGTTTGCCGTGGGGTATGAAACGTAACCGGCGAAACTGGTTGATAATATCTTTTAGATGATCAAGATAACAGGTGGGAATTGAGCCTTAAAAAGATTGATATTGTTTGATAAGACTTGAATGATTAACCTTTTTTTTAGTCATACTCCCAAGGAGTTTCTGGTGTTGATTGAAAGATATCAGGTAGGTAATTAGGTAATATTGTTTGAATTCGAGGGGGAATGATCAGAAGCGAAACAATGGCATTATAAGCTTCACACCTACTGTACTTGCTATTTGCAAATTTGGAGAATATTTACCCAAGCAACTAATCTAGGCTACGAAATGAACCTATGGTATCTCAAAGTAATGAGTCAACTGGAAATAACCATTGCTGCTCGACTATACTAGAACGCCTTTTGTTATGCAGTAGATGGCGCCGCCCCAGTGTGAAAAACCAAGAACGCTAAAGCCCCGAACCAAAACCATCCATACAAGTTAATAATCTTGAAATATGCCGACCAATTCGTCGAGTCTACAAATCTGTCCTAATAGATCTTCCTCCTTCGCCCGAACCTCACGTAATTGGTTCATCTGTTCAGGTCGAAGAAAGGCCTCCTCTTGACCTTGAACATCTGTACGCTCTGATAATGCAATGATATCTGCTTTGCGTCGCTTCTCTACATCGAGTCGTTGAAGACATCTTGACATAGCCTTGTAAGTTCGATCCAACAAAAGCGAGGTAACCCGGTCTTCATCACAAAACCACAAATGTATAGTACGCACAATCAGGCGACCAGCATCCCTGGGGACTTCCTGAATATCAACCATACCATGCATTTGCATGTTCACAAGTGTAGTACGGGAATCCTGCTGCTTGATCAACGCCAGCTTGGCAATATGTTTTTCTTCAAGCTTTCCCATCTTCCTCATAACTCGTACGAGTCGATGACCAATTTGGCCAAAATTCTCATATACAATGGAGTCAAGTTCGGATTGTCGAAGTCGGTCAATCACACGCTCAAAATCTACCGTCCATTCGCCCATTTGCCGAGCACCGCACTTTCGTAGTAGTTGGCAATCATCAGCGGCTAACAGTTGAAGATGGCTCATTACATGCATCATTCGGGCCTGGCGACTCTCTGTTGGGGGAGGAGTTCTGTCCCGGTCTTTAAAAGTGACGGCTCGCTTGCTTGTGTTAGCTCCGGGTTGGTCCGAAAATGGATCATCTTCGTCAACATCCATTGCATGCCCATTTCCATTCGTGGAAGGCTTGTGATCATCTTCCGACTCATCAGAACTCGCCACACCTTCTACTTCTGCTTCATCTTCAGCCTTTCTCTTTCTGCCGTTCTGAAGCTTATCAAGTCTGGAAGTATCGATATTTTGACTGGTAGCTTTGCCGATTCCAGTGGATACATTGATTGTCCTGCTTAAGGCATCGGTCAACTCTTGTGTTGTTATTATGATTGAAGGTCCATCAGCGTCATCCACAGCATCGTCAATTCTCGGATCAGGTCGACATCTAGGAATCTGTTCTGCCATGAGCCGAAGAAGTTCAGCGTAGATATAAGATGTGGTTACACCAATCCGGGAATTCGCAAGCTCAACAAGTCGTCGGTTTCTCATAAAGACAGTGCATTTCTCATTGTTGATTCGCAAAACTAAATTTCCCTGAAAATATGTTAGCATGCAATCACAGACAGCCATAGACAATGCAAGAAACTCACATCAAGCTTGTTACTTTCGTCGTCGCCAAAATCATACCCATTAGTTGCACCGCCATTGTGAGAAAGTCTTCTTCGTTTCGAGGCAGTGCCGTTCATATGGCCATTGGTAGATGAGCGATTGTAACCGACGGGTTTCCAATTCGGAACCTGAGCTCTCAATTCTTGTAGCTGTCCTCGAATTCTCATCCTTAATTCGTCCTTTTGCTTCGTTCCTCTCGTGGCTCCCCCATAACTATCCTGAAGAAGCGCCTTTTCAACCGCATTGTAACTATCTGTCGGACTTCGAAACATATTCTGGCCAACAGGTTGAATAAATCCTTCCTCCAACAATTGGATCAATGTATGATTCAATTGTCCTGAGGGATATGAATGAACACCATTGCCATTCGTCGCGCCATTGATTCCGCTGCCATTGGCGTGTGGTTCGTGGTTCTTGTTTAACTCTGCGATTATGTCGGATATTTTAGCGTGGCCCAAAAGTACCAATTGTCCCATAATCTCGGCCGCAACAGACCCGAATCGTTCTTCCGCAATTTCTAAGATTTTCCCAGATCTAACCAACGCATACGCGGCATCGATGTTTGCTTCATAATGGGTGTCGCTGCCTTCTGAGTTATGGTAAACCAAATTTTGTCGAACTAGGACCGTTAATCCAAGCTTCAATTGTCGCGTTGTGAGTTGAGTGTGTCTTTTGAGCGCATTCATAGGTAACCTTCCCCGTCGAAGTAAAATAGTGAAAATGCGCTACATGATGTCAGACTTTGCAACAGCAGAGATATTTTCTTCAGCCTCGTCATTTATGCAAGGCTTGGTTCAATATATTTTGAAAAGATGGAGTGAGCGGTGGACTTACAGACGACAGTTCGCCATAAATATCATCGACGAGCAGTGAGCAAAGCTCAACTGCATGTTTGGACTATCCATTGAGTCAGCTAGTTACAATATAATTCGCAGTATTGTAATATGTATCTTGATGCGAGTAGCAGGCGGCAGCGATGATTCTGACTTAAACCAATTTAACTTACTTTAGACATAATTTTTGTTGCTACTAGAGGATGATTTCAGTATCCCTAGAGCTTCCACAATTACTACCGATGTTTCATTGACAAAATGGAAGATGTTAAATAAAATTGTAGAACGGGTAGAAATTCCAGATTGTCGAATACTCAGATTATTACTTAGAAATTTTGAGGTGGGGGACCAATTGTCGAATGGGCAAATCAAAATTGGAGGGGATTGAATTACACAAAACACTAAACCATATTTAGACTAGCGCAATTGTTCCGAGATCTTCCAGCGAAAAGAACTGTAGGATATTGGTATTATTGAACGTCTTGATCTTTAAAAAATACCGAGTCTCCCCTCCTCATACCAATAAATCCAAACAATGATCTCACGGTCGGCGATTGGAAGACACGCACAGCTTGCTGTTCGCAGGCAATGCTGTGCTCAGCCAGCTAATCGTCGTGGCCTTGCTGCCGTTTCCTCCGGATCGACTTCATTCTCATACGAATCATCTGATGTTGCTGGAGTTAAAGTCGCAAGCAGAGATGTTGCTGGAGCCACCACAAAACTTGCTGTCGTTGCTAAGGCTGGAACAAGATATCAGACTGCACCAGGTTTGACATCAGGCCTGGAGCGATTTGCATTCAAGGTAAACTTCAAAACAAGCACCAACTTTCGCATTTTATTATATTGTGTAAGATACTGACTTATATTTTACAAATTAGAACACCTTGAAGCGATCCGCTCTCCGTATCTGCAGAGAATCTGAACTTTTGGGCGCACAATTGAACGCTTACCACACCCGCGAGGCACTTGTCGTTGAGGCTAAGTTTCTTCGGGAGGATTTACCATACTTCACCGAACTCCTTGGTGAAGTAATTTCCGCGACAAAGTATACTTGTAAGTCTAGAGTTGAGAAATATTTATAAGGGCGCCAACTGACTGTTCATAACAGCTCATGAATACCACGAAGAAGTCGAGCACCAGATTAAGTTGGGCCAAAAGAAACTCCTTGGAAGTGTATCCGAGCTTGCTATCAACTCAGCACACGGTGTTGCATTCCATAGAGGACTCGGAACGCCTCTCTTCCCATCTTCATCTACACCCCTCACAAAATATTTGAGCTCGGACTCCGTCAGCCAATTTTCAACTCAAGCATACTCAAAGCCAAACATCGCCGTTGTTGCAAATGGTGCCAGTCAGGCAGATTTATCGAAATGGGTAGGAGAGTTCTTCACTGGTACTCATGCTGGACAAGGTCTCTCTGGTCCTGGTGCCACTAAATACTATGGTGGTGAGGAGCGTATTGCCCATGACTCGGGTAATTCATTTGTTCTCGCTTTCCCTGGATCTAGTTCCTTTACAGCAGGAGAATCATACAAACCTGAATTCTCCGTCCTCGCATCTCTCCTCGGTGGAAAATCGAGCATCAAGTGGTCCACTGGATTCTCAATCCTATCCAAGGCTGCATCTTCATTCCCAGGAGCCAGCGCCACAGCTACTAACTTTGCTTACTCTGATGCTGGACTTTTGGCAATTCAATTCAATGGTTCTGCGTCCGCTGTTAGATCAGCTGCTATTGAGGCTGTCAAGGCCCTCAAGGCAATTTCTGAAGGCTCCATCAGTCAAGAAGATTTCACAAAGGCTGTCGCTAATGCTAAGTTCAACGCATTGGAGGAAGGCCAAAACGTTGAGGCTGGTCTTGTCTTGACTGGCTCTGGACTTGTCCACGGCGGTAAGGCATTCCAAATCGACGAAGTTGGCAAGAGCGTCGAATCTGTCAGCATTGAGAAATTAAAATCGGTATGTACCTCTTCATTGCTCACACGACGTGATACTAATGTTTATTATAGGCTGCAAAGGCTATTTTGGAGGGCAAAGCTACAGTTTCGGCAGTCGGTGATCTTTATGTCCTTCCTTATGCAGAGGAGCTTGGTCTTTCAGTGTAAAGCTAGATTTAAAGATGGGATAACGGGGTGTATTATCAAAAGCTCTTAGAGTGTATTGTAGATGTGATGCTTGCTGTGAATATATGATTGATTTCCTTTGATGCGGATGAACCAGACTGAATGCCTATCAAGTATAATATTGAAATGTTAGACTGTAAATAAAAGAAACTTTGTAGTCAGTCAATTCTGCTCTGAGCAGGCCGGCTCGGAATGTTAATATCACGTGATCTCGGAAATTTCTCCAATTCTTCCCGCGCTCCACGGAAGGTCAAAGGCACGGCAGCAACCTCTCTTCAAATTACATCGTCCCGATTCACATATCCCTCATCTTACAAAATGGCATTTGCGTGGAAAGCCTCAGGTCTCACGTACGTAGTCGCAGTTCCGCGGCCTCCTTGCAACTCTCTTGTTTGGCGCAATGGAGGGCATTGGGCGCCGCATCGGGGAAGACTTTTACTGACGTATTTCTGGATTACAGCTACAACAAGTACTTGTCCGTCGCCGCACGAACTGTTCGAAGAAGTTTGAAAGATGACAAACGATTGGCCGCTGAGCGCAGAGGAGAGATGGAATTGAGATTCGCCAAGTGGAACGTAAGTGACTCCTCGAGTCGCGGGATTAAATTGAGGGAGGTTGACTAACGAGGATTATTGGAACAGAACGGCAAGCAAGGCGAAATCAAGAACGTTGCGGAGGCCAATGCAGCATCAATGGCAGAGGCTACTTCATCTTCTTAAATATGGACACGGCACTTCTAAACGCCCCGGTGGGAGGAGGGGAAAGAGCTGTGCTAGAAACGAATGGCAGAGTGGACTTGTACATTTGTATCATTCGGGGCTATTGAGCCAAGGCAATTGAAAAGTCTCATTACTCTCGCAAATGCTCCGGTCTATTCTATATTCTGCATGATTCCATCTGGACGACTCGACATCTCCAAAGCAGTTTATATTGGCATCTTTCATACTTTATCACACGAAATGTTTGAATCCCCATAAATTCTGTTTGTGATGTATCAAGGTGACAATATTATATAGTCTGGTCTAGGTATTATACTTGTTCCTCATGCATGTCGTAGCACATATTTAACCCATCATCCTAAAGTTGAAGATATAATCAAGTAGCACAGAGACGACATTGATGTGTGTGAAACAAGATTAAATATTTAACGTCCATCATCATCATGAAATAGCCCCAATTCAATGTAAACAAACACTTTTCCAATGTTGAAAACTAAATTTCTGTATTCACCTATTGTCCTATTCCAAGGTTGAATATGAAATACCTACTGCACTCATGCCACTTTCCGTAACAAGCGAGAACTCTATCTTTCTCGCAACATTGAAACGAAGGTGACGAACATTCCTCAAAAATTATATTTCGATGCTTTGAGCGATCATTCACAGCAGCTACGGTAGAGCCATGCATAACAACGATGTAGCTGCTATCACGCAGCGTAAGTACCCTCTTTTATATGATAATACCTGTCGCTGACGGTCACTTGCAGAAGTATCAGACCTTGACATTGATCAAGGTCCCAGTGACCCAGCGGCAATGATAGCAGCGCTCAATCCGGAACTACGACCCGCTCCCAAGTTGTACAGCAAGGGGGTTAAGATTACAGATATTACTCAAATCTTCATAGATGCTGCTCACCGTGTGTTACCTATCACAAAACCGAAAGACTTTTGTGTAGATCACGTGCTAATGGCCTGCCATAGAGCTCGAAGTAGGAGACCTTGTTAAGGATCCGTTCTTCACATTGTTTGAGGCTGTTGCTGCTCTAGAGGTTTGTCTTTCATTTTTAGTGAATGGCTGAGCTGATCTTCGAGTACAGATCATGGATCCCAAAATGGATAGTGGCTATCTAGCTCCTGGAGAAACTATGGAGGATGATTATGATTTCGCTCAGGCGCTATTGCCAGAGGAAGTTTTGGGTATCATTGATCAGCTTCTTTGTCATGAGGTATGTGAATGCCAGATACAACCAGAATCTTAGCAGTCTGACTTCGAACAGATGGCTTGGCACATGGGACACCCACTTGCTCAAACAATCTTTACCAGTTTATACATTGATCGAATCCTACATCCCTCACCCTTAAGTCTCAACGAAACCCGGTTTGACAGAGACGAGAGCTGTGCCGAAGATGAGCCTTTGATGCTGCAAGTTTTGAGGGCATACTGTCTAGGTCTGATCAAAACTTGTTGGTATGTCAACAATCGAGTGAGGTCAGAGCATTTTTACGAGGTATTTACCGCTTTTCACGTAGTGATTTCTTCTCACACTAATACACGTTTAGGAAGAAGATTTTGCGACCCATACATTCCATAGAAATCTGCTCGAGGGTATAGAGTATGATGAAATTCTTAGTTTCATGAAAGAGACTGTAGAATTGGTTTTGCAGGCTCAGAGCATATCCGAGGACATGAAAGAAGCTTTGTCGACTAGACTTAACTTTCGGCAGGCTTTTTTGAAAACTGTTGATACAGTAGAGTCAAGATCTCAAGATGCAAAGGAGTCCTGGCGTGAGACGCATTCATTCATTTCGGATCTAACATCATCTAGCAAACTTGCAAAGCCCGTTCCGCAGTCATTTAGTGTGAAATTACAGAGGAAGCTTGCGAGCACGGTTCCGCCACGTCCAATTGTTGTAGTGGGTCAGGAGAGTGCCTACGAACACTTGGAGAGAATGTGTAAGGATGGTGAAATTGCAATTGATATACTTGATTATACAGATAGTCACAGTCTCATGGTAAGTGCAATATCACCTATGAGAATTATCTACTCTTTGGCTGATGATACATATGTAAGACTTTTATTTCATTATTCCAAGCACGAAAGCCTCAACCATCCGTGTATATTCGAACTTTACTCCAGTATTACATGTTTGCAGACATGATAATACTGGGTAAAATGTCCATCCGAGAAGTTCTCGATGATGATCTAGCTAGTCTTACTTTACCCGCAAACCAGCTTCTAGATCGTATCAACGATGAAGTTGAAGTTACTCATGATCCAAGATTCCACATGGCTCAAAGAATGGAGTTATTTAGATCACGCGCGGCCAACACATACATAGATATCCTTCGGACCATGTGTCAAAGCCGGTGTCGCATACGTCGAACACTCTGTCACACAATCGTTGACTGGGATAATCTCCAACTTGATGGTGAGGAGATTGATCAGGAACTGAGAGAATTTACAAAAGAAAAGCCATTCATAGATAAAACCTTATCACATGATCCAATTTACGCTTTTCCCCTATCATCATGGGCGTACTATTACAAGCTCCGCCAAATGGAATGGATAGTACAATTAGGCTTTGAACTCCAAGTTTACCAGCCAGATGAGTTATCAGGGATGTATTTTTACCTTAATCATCTTTGCAAGACGAGAAGTCGTCATCTTGAGCGTATCCGAAGCGAGGTCATGCGATCCTACTCTGCACGTCGCAATGAAACGCAGCTTGATCCTACTCAAAGAGAGGAATTCACCAATGCAATTTCATTCATCAACTTCTCCATGTTAGAAGTTACCTCGACGTATGGCTTCGCAGACGCACTATCTTCGTTGTTTGAAGCACTTCGCCGTTTGGATCTTATACCCATACCTCCGAGACCATACGGCAACGATGTAATGCGTTACGAAGTCCGCATGAAACCATTTTCTACGATTGGCCTTCCTGCACCCTTGTCGTTTGAATCTTTCACTTACAACGTCACGCAGCCCAATGAGACCACTCTCGATCTACTTTTGATTGCTGGAGAAGCCACTGCTGCTGCTAAGAAAGGATTCGAGATCCTGAGTAAACTCAATCCTAAAGATGCTTATTGTCGTGGATCTCACGAGAGCTGGCTGAAAGATATTAAGGACTGTTTGAAAGCGTGTATCTTTACTGGAATCTCGATTGCAGCGGTCAAAAAGGCCATCGAAGGTGCAGGCAAGGACAATAAAGTGAAGGTCCAGGTGGAGATACCCACAACAGGTAAAGGATATCATGATTGGTGGATCGTGCCTAAAATTCTCCCCGATCCGAAAAGGTAATGATCAGTGATTGATTTTCATGCTTCGGGGACTCGGACTCTACTTGTCTGGAAGGGTTCAGAACGTCAGCCATGGGCTTCGGATGCCTCTCTAAAACCCCTTGGGAAGGCGTCTGACAGATGCTCATCGGGATTGTCAAGATGCAAACCTTGTTACATCTTACGCAAACGCATCGGACTGAACTTCATCCTCCGCGTCTCGTCTCTTCTCTCCTCTCTTCTCAAGGGGTTCAGATAGTCTGAGTAAATTAGACTGTGTGACACAGGAATTAGATAGATAATTTATACATATGACTTCCCAAAATTTGGTAGCCCAAGCACAATGACGAAATCTCACATCTCTGCATCAACTTGATCCATCTAGTAACATCATTCCACAACGTCGAAAATGTTACACAGAAAACGTCACACCACACCAAGACAAAATTGGATACAGACCCTGACTTAAACAATCGAAATCTAATTGAGATTTCGATTCCGATGACTTCCCCAATTTCGATTGCCATAATTACGAACCAATCGCGACCCGCGAGTCTGAAGCAACAATTTTCAAAGATCACATCACGACCCCTTTTCCCTCTCCACCAATCCCACCCCCCCTTCCTCCCCAAACTCCCACCTCACCATTGGAAAAAAGTGGAAAACAAAAACCATTCTGTTGCACATCTAAAATGTCGTCGGGCAACTCGCCGACAAAAGCCATTTTTCGATGATAATATCTTTTCTCGGCACTTTACTCTCTCTCGTGCATTTTTCGGGCGGGAAAGGGGCATATTGTTCGATGGCCTGTTTCGATGGGGGATCGAGTGACGGACGCGGACAGAGCGCCGATGCGGATGTCCATTTTTCGCCGCGGGTATTGCTTTGTTGGCTTTTATGTTCGGTAATAACCTCGTGCTGTACTAAATTTTGTCATGGTCTTGCTTATGCATTGTGGTATGTCATCGTATGGTCCCTGATTTGGCTCAGGGTCTGTGGTGGTGACATGATCACTTTCAGAGACATCATGGGAAATGAGAATCATGATTTTATTATTTATTTCAAATTGAGCTTTCAGCCATCTCTCTCAGCACAAAGAGAAAACTTTGGCAATCAAATGGTGGAGATCTTGATCGGGTCCGCCATCCATCCTATCACATAAGAAGCTGAAAGGCCACGAATGACTACTGTATGGTGCCAATTTTGCATCGGTTGAGTATGACGAAGAGTTCTAAGAATGTACATATATGCATTTGTGATATATAATACTAATCAACTTTTGTTCAGACCCATAACTTCGTATCGTATAAAAGAGGGGGAGGGAGGGTATACGCAAAAGTCCCAACCAAAGAGAATCGCTCGATATTCATCCTTAATCAATCTACAACCCCAATCTTAGACATCTCTATCCATATATCCATAAAATGCTGCCAAGTTGTAAATGCCAATTGCCAACTTGTTCTAAACTTTCAAAGCCCGTATTTGACCGTCTTTCTTGCCCCCAATAATGCATACGGAATATTCAGATCATGAACTCGTTCTCTCATCCAATAACCCGTCAAAAATGCAGATTCACGCTACCCATGCAAACAATTTCTCCCTATGATGCTCCTATCTATGCACACTACCACCAACTCACATGTGTCAAATTCAGCGTCTTGGACCCGAGTTCACAAGTTGTCGTTGTTTGTTCACCCAACTTCTTGGAGCATCTTGT